CAACTTTCGCATATTGTTTTTTTTTCCTGATGAAAAAACTTTAATATAGGGGTGGTCCTTTTCGATGGATAACCCTGTACATGTACAGTGTACATACATAGTGACTGAATTAATTGTCTTGTGTTCTAGGAGTGAATTAGAATATTAGTGTTTTGAAAAATTATCATTGTCTGAATCATGACACTCTACCTGAACAAAAGAGAGTGAAGTAGGTACCTGATCAATTGTTTATAACTTTTTGGAAAAGAGCAGTTTGGTATGATGTTTCATTCTTTGAAAAACCATGTAACTTAATGTTCTCTGAAATATTTAAGGTGTTCTTGCAGTTTATATATACACAACTGTGTCTTCCACTAGGAACTGCTGCATATTTCACTTTCTGCTCACTCATTATACTGTTTGAAGTGGAACAAGAAACAGCAACAAGCACAACTCAAAATACAATCTCAACTTCGATCATAACTCAATCCACTATCACTATTCACAGATCTTTGCACTACTTGCTCGAGACTGATAAAGAAGTGATTCCATTTTCTGAATTCCTTTCATTGAGGAACCTACAAGTAATTAGATGGCATTATCCAAACGATTAAAGTAGATTGGAACACATGCTATTAAAACAACATTTTAACTGAGTACCTTACCTGAATATAGAATTTATTCCCTTCTTGTCTATAAATTTCGGACATTAACAAACGAATTATCGATTTTGAAACTGATGAGCAAATAAAATGCAAAATAAACAAACGCTTCTATCAGTCACAGTGCTGGAATCGAGGCCGTCGGCGTCGTGCTAGTCGTGCTGGAATGTGGAAAACATGCCGAAAATCCCGAGCGCTTGCGCAGTAGTGAGACTGTCCCTTTAAACTTTGCGCTTTTGTCATCTCTCTCTAATTTTGTGCGCCTTGTCTGACTGTCCTATCTGTAAGGTTTGTTAATCTGTGCCTAGAGTGTACTGCTCGTGAAAATTTGCAGTTTCCTCCACTTTTTACACATTCGTTCTATAGAGTACTGTGAAACTCCGCTAGATGTCGTTACTAGTATCATCTCTGGGACTACTTATATTATCCATATATTTGAATTTAAAACAATATTTCAGTGACCAGTGAGTTGTAATTTTTCAAGTATGTCAACCATATGAAGGCATTCTATTTTTACTATAAATAGTTATTTTGTCTATATTATATACAGGGTATTTTATAGTGTAGTGGAAATCACAGAGGTCTTTAAGATTATTCGAATAAGACCGTTCCAGGATATTTGGTGCCCATAGGCTACCAATAGTGATGAGGCCCACGACCGTGCTAAAATATACAGAGGGGACCGGTGGCGTTTTGGAACAACAAAATTATCAATGTCAGATATTATAGTCTATGCAAAGTCAGTTGAAATGCGGCCCACGGTTTTTTTCATCGGTTGTTCTAATTGACTTTGCTTAGACTTTACCAATCAACAAATGAATATACAGGGTGTATCTGAATAACACCGAAAAAATTCGAGGGGTAATTCCTTGTGATATTTTAGGAAATGAAATTCACATAGACATGTGTCCTAACTTCCTTCGTTTTTGAGATACAGGGTCGTATTAATATTTCCATGAAAAATATTTTTTTTCATTTATTTCTCAATTGTCCTTTCATCAATTTCAATAAAACGTTGTGGTTTTGTTGATAGTAATATGGTGCTTCTTCTAGTGCAATGCAATTAGATTTGAAATAATATTTTCATTGGCGTCACAGTGGGTAAATTCATCAATAATCATGGTGAATGCCATTGTACACCACCGGTTTTTCTGAGTTTCATATTTTTGTACTTTTGTACTTATTGAGATTACTCAATAACCCCAATTAGAATCCTGAAATTTTGGAGCTCTCTCAGTCTCCATCCATACTGAATTTTTAATAAATCAAAACAATTAATATGTATATCGAGATGTATATATAAAGAAATACATTTAGAATTCGCATTCTTCATGTGATGAAAAATTAAATTCTATAGACTTATTATTGTTATCGTTTATGCTTAGATGTTTGGTAGACTTGTTCGTTTTTGTTCCACTCAATAAAAAAATTTTGACTTTGCTTTAGTTTTAGTGTGCAGAATTACACATTATAATTGAAATAAAATACAGTACAGGGTACAGGATGTGAATAAAAGATACATGGAGAAATGACATATGTAGTGAAGAAGTATTTTATTATGGCTATATCTCTCACTTTGTATTGCTGGACAGATTCGTGGTCTGTTTTTTTTTAAATTCATCACATATATCAACGATTTTACTGTCTTTTGTCACTTTATTCTGGCATTTGAATATTTTTTCGCGTATGAAAATTACGTTGTAAGGACGAATCTTCGTGCAAACGTTTATTGTTTTGATAATGATGGGTTTATAGATTCAACTGAAATAAGAATTAAACTAACAACTATGAACCTGCAAAGTTGAATACAAGGAAACATCAATGAGGGTTTATACATTTACATCTGTCATTTAAATTAAGAATTGAGAATTACAAAGTTGGCCAACTTAACAACTAAGAATTAGTAAATTATGTAGACAGAACATGATTATTGGGTTTGTTAGTTATTGTTCAAGTGGAGTTTGGTGATATATAATTGGAATATTTTTCACGGATTCATGAATGGTGTAGACCAAAATCACTTTATAACATCAATTTGATCTTTAATCAGAATACATTTAACATTCAATTCTTAATTAATATCAGATATGTATAAACATCCTTTTGATAATTAATTTGTGATTGTTGATTGTTAATTCCTAATTGTTAGTTCAATTGAATCTATAAACCTAGCATAATATCCTATGAACAGTATAAACACCTTTGAACCCTTATTATTTTCATTTGATTTCTTCTTTCTTTGTACCCTGGACCTTTCACGAACAGATATTTCACTATCCATATTATTCATATGTTTATTATATCTTAAATATAAATAAAATATGCTTTTGTACAATAACAACATTATTCCTTCTTCATATCAATGATCTGTTGGGAGTAACAACTTGCCCCATCCACAGCTTTGCAGATGATAGTACCCTCCATACTGCGTTCTCTTCCAGAATTCCCATTTCTTCCCAGGAAACTAATAACCCACGGCGCAGGCATGTCAATGCTGTCAATGAAGACCTTGCTAAAATTACAGCCTGGAGAACCAACAACCTAGTTGAATTCAACGTCACCAAAACTCAAGCCTGTATTTTCTCAAGAAAGGCGGAACTCAGTATGCCCGATATTGTAATGTCTGGCACCACCAAGCCCACCATATCTATGCTCGGTATTTCCATCAGCAACACTTTCATGTGATAATCATGTCAGATCCATCGCAAAAGCTGCTTCACAAAAACTCTGATTCTTGTTCCGTGCGAAAAGCTACTTAACACCTCAACAGCTTCTCATGATCTACAAAGCGCAGATACGGTCTGTTCTAGAATACTGTTCCCACATATGGGGTTCAGCACCAAAACATACGCTGATACTCTTAGTTTCCATCCAGAGAAGAGCCATTCGCCTGGTGGGTGACGCCACACTCACTCACTTTTTGACATCATTATAACACCGTAGAAAGGTCGGCGACCTTTCACTTTTCTATCGATACTTCCACGGGAAACGTTCTTCGGAAATCTCTGCTATCATCTCTTCACTAGCAATACCAGTCAGACGAACTGGACAAGCCCAGTCAGCACATCCTTTTGTTGTCAACCTCGAAAGATGTCGAACAGCACTTTATCAAAACTCCTTCATCCATAGAACGGCTAGGCTCTGGAATTCATTACCTGAGAAAGTATTTCCAACAACATATAATCTCCAGAAGTTAAAAAAAAACCACTACCTACCTCCTGTCCCTATCCTCCCTAGGAACGCACGATGTTCTTTGAACATTATAGGGATTTCCTTTCGTGCGCTCTAAGCGATGAAAAAATCTAGGGAACAAAATATCACATAATTACCAACTACACCACTGATTAGTGACATGTTTGGTTATGAATGAATTAGTTACTAAGAAATGTTTGTTTTTGCATAGGTTGTCTATTTTACTCATACAAAATATATGGGATATGTTCCACTTTGTGCAGATTTCTCGAGACCGATGGATGTAAATGATTCTAAGGCTCATGTGAAGTATTAGTCCGCCAAAGGATGAATCACCTAGAACAGGTCTATCTCACACCTACTGAGGTGGAAAATTCAACCGTCAGGAAAATGCTAGGCTTCATGAGAAGTCTAGGGTTAGAGGACCAAAACTAGACAATAGATCTTCTAGGTCGCAGTGATTGAGAGGTCTCCCAGCCTTTACGACCCATCTACAATCTACAATCTAGACTTCCACGTAGACGTTAACGTACGAAAAATATTGTAGATGGATTTTCTTCGAATTGAGTTGAATTCACCAGTGTCATCGTAACGTATCGTAATAATAAATTTCGTTTTCGGTTTATATTGGTCGTTATTTGTTCTGATCTGAACATTTATTCGTTTTAAAATGAGCGGAATCTTGATAATGCAGAACTCTTTGGAGATCCTGACTATGATAATCTTGACTCATTGGCATACGCAAGATAACGTACACCCCGAAGCCCACTACCAACGCAAACGTGAAAAAACGGGAAATGCGCATGCTTTACCTATCAATTTCTACGTTTACGTTAATAAACGCAGGTTATAGGGACGATAGAAATCAAACACATGAATATAGTGTCGATGATCTATATTCAATTATCTTCAAAAGATTAACTCACAATTATTTCCGGCAGACTCGCAACATCCTAGCTTTTGTTTATATAAAACACGAAACTGTGTTCATGAAAATACCCTTGCTCAGTTAGACAATTACGGCCATCTGAATCCTACTGGTTTGATGTTTATAGTTCAGTGACTTGCGTTTTGGTTTTTGCCTAACTGATATTATATTCAAGACAACTTCATACCAATCTGAGCGCTCCGACGTAAATAATGAACTTACCTTCTGTTTGCTTGCAGAGCACACCCTGTAAACACCCAGTGATAGTGCTGCAGGATGTGGCGTGGACGGACCTGCACGCGCTCGTCGAGTTCATCTACCACGGCGAGGTGAACGTGCACCAGAGGTCGCTGTCGTCGTTCCTCAAGACGGCTGAGGTGCTGCGCGTCAGCGGGCTCACGCAGCAGCACGGAGATAGCCGCGACCAGGTGAGACTATTGTTGTTCTTGTCATTACTTTTGTAATACATCTACAGGGTGGAGACTTCAACTGGAATAAATCGTTACCACCGATAAAACAAGGCCTGCATGCTCCGTGGGTGACGTCACTTAGTCAGGCCTAACCAGCGGCTCGAAACGACAAGCGCTTATAGCGCTATAAGGCGACCGCGTATTTCGATTTCAGTTTTAGATTATTATTGAGCCGATTTTGCTTTTTTTTAAGGACTTCCGGTTGAAAGAGGATGCCAGCCGTCAACTGAGCCCTTCTTCGCATCCCATTCGATTTTATTATGGAAAAACGAAGTTTCAAAGCAAAAACCAGAATAAAGCACAAATACCCACCTACAGCAACCCATTCGAATTGAATATATTGGCAAAAATTGTAGTGATTCAATCTCATTAGAGGTAAACTTCACACCTACTTATACAGGGCCCGCAGAACATAAACTTATCATGAGATTGATCGAAAGAAAATTGGGGAAAATGTATTTTAGTTTGATAGACATGCCGTTTGTTATACCCAATTAACTATATTTATCTTGGAGAATTCCTATTACCTAAAAAGTTAGCCAGTGAGTGTTTTCAATTTCCTGTTGTTGGATTTTTTACCCAATTGGACGTTAGACTTGAAACAGTAATTTTTAAGTTTAGTGTTTGTAGTACATGTTAATATAATAGTTGCAATTTGATCATTGGAATTGATTCTGCATTCATTGCCACGAGGCAAATGATGGTTTTCAGAAAGAAATTTGAGAATGTATTGAGTCAGAAACCAAAGAGTCCAATGCATTCGAAATATGTTTCAAAACCCTCTTTTTCTGATTATCAAGACATTTTCCCGAATTATGTATCTCGTTTTTATCTATTTCAATTAGTAATTCCTTGATTTGATTGATATTATTAGAGATAAAAGGTGTTTTCAGATTGGCTTTTAGAGATGTTTGTATCGCTAGGTCATACAAAAATGATTCCACATTCAAAACAAAATCAATCACAACCGAATATGTAATTACGGGCTCTGGAGAATAAGACAATTTGAATAATGTGACTTTTTGCAAATCGATAATTTTGAACCACTTTTCGGGCAGCTGAAAAGACTCTAATACAACTAGAAATTCTTGAAATTCTGTGTAGCAAAATGAGTTTTGATAATTTTCGAATTCAGTTTTACTTTTGGTACTTAAGTGCTTGTGCCAAATTTTTAGTCTCTAGTATCTCAAGTTTTCCATCACGACTTGTGCGTAATTTTACATCTTATCCAGTTGGGAAATTGAGTGGGAATAACATCTCGTTTGAGCCTAGGAATTTTCAAATCTATTGTTACAGTTTTGCCAGTTTTTGAATCGGTTGCAGTAGATGAAGTAATAATATCATCTTTAGTGAAATGTAATTCAGAACATACTTTACTGTACTTAGATGGAGTCGTAAAATCCTTGCGGTGAATTGCATGTACCCACTTTTTCGATAGTTCCTTGTCCAACGGGAAACTAAAAGCATGAACTTTTGGACCACCCACATAATTCCCCCGACAAAAGGGAACACAACACTTGTAAGGCATTGTTATTTCGCCTATCACAACACGAAATATTTCACAAAACTGTAATTTCTCCGCCAATTATTTTGATGAATAAACAACAAGAGAATTAGAGCACACGCGATTTACCTACGCCACCGTTCTTAAACAAAAACAAACTGACGTTCGATCGACGCGAATGCCTTGGAAGATGGCCTGAGTATGCGACGTCACGAGCTGTTTACGTCAGAGTCTGCTGGCCTTGTTTTATCGGTGGTAACGAATAAATTCGCTACTGGGGCAGTGAATGATTATTCTGGAAATTCGCGAGACACTTCAACGTTCAAATGTATTCACCTAGATTTGGCGGGCAATATGGAGAATATAACCCTTATTCAGGGGTCAGGTAGCCGTGCGGACAGAGTGTCAATATTGTAATCCGCATTCGCTTGCCGGTCGTGGGTTCGATTTCCATCGACTGCAAGAAAGTGTTGTTGTTGGGATCACACGTTAAAAGGTAAGGCCCCCGTCATTCCTTGCTCGCACAAGACTCTCGAAGACTTCTGAGGATTGCTCGTAAGGGGGCAACCGAATGACGGATAGAACAATTTTTAGGGGTACCCCAACATGTTTTTTCCAAATGCAAACCCTATGGCTTGCGACCCCTCATTGGAAAGCTGGCTGAAAGAGGAATCCAGCGTACTGATCATATTTCAGTTTGCAGTACGTTTGGGCGACGCATAAAAACAAAATATAATTTCGAAGTTCAATATAATTATTTTCAATGTATTTTCATCGATGTTTCGACTTTTAGTGACAGTGATATAGGGCATTTCCACCAGTTTGCAATAACACTTCGTTTCGAACTGTGAATACATCGAAAAAACTAAATTTATTCTTGCGGCTCTATAAAAACACTGCAATACAATAGCAGATAGCAGTTGTAGTAAAACATTGCCATCAATTGTTCAACACACAATTTGAGCAATTGATATGTTGAAAAAAAAATTTAAAATTAAATCTCAATGTTATGCAACCTTTAAACGCACGAATAACTAAAATTTGACTAGTATGCTGGATTCCTCCTTCCACCAGCTTTTCAATGAAGGATCACGAGCCATAGGGTTAAATTTGAAAAAATCATGTCGAGGGTGGTTTCAGCTACCCCTGGAGGGATATATTTTCGATATTGCTTGCAAATAGTAGGTAATAACATTAAATCGTTGACGTGTGTCGGGAATTTCCAGAAAAAATATTCACCTCCTCGCTAACGAATTCATTCCAGTTAAAGTCTCCACACTGTATTACTATGTCACAGAGGTTGTTACGTTATTACGATTTGTCATGAATCTATTACTATTCGCTGTTAGCTCCAAAATATGATGTTTGATCTATTACTGTGTTCAGCGAGGGTAGTACTCGGCCAGCATTTCACTTTTTCAGTTGCCATTTGCCATCATGGAGCGATGTACGCTAAAGTAACGCGTGTTCGTTATTGTTATTTCACAAACACTTGATTCCTATGCCCCGTCTTCTAGAAGTATGCAAGAAGAACACACTGACCAAAAAGTTCACTGAGAAACAGTGGTAAGTGGCATATGTGAAATTGAAATGCTTCGAGTCCAGGAATGGATTGTAATAAACAGCGCGCCCCGCCCTTATTCAATGGCCGAGTACTACCCAAACCAAAAAATCAAAAACACTTGGTTCCAATGCCCCATCCTGTATATGTATTATGTACCATTCATCACTTTTCGATCATACACCATAAAAGATATGTGAATTTTTTATGCGCACATGATAGTTGAAATTGTCGATCGATCTTCGTATAAAAATAATCGATCGGCGAAAAAGGTCGATCTCTCAGGATCGATTTCAGAATCGTCTTTCTTAATCCAGCAACGAATGAGATCTCCAAAGGTAGGCAGTAGATACACGAAGTCCATAACTCTCATTCAAATCGAATCAGATAGTTTTCTTCTGGTTTTTTAGCAACCATTCCACCCCTATTCACCCTCTTATCAAAATAATTGCAAGCCGGTAATTCCGATTCAGTGTAAAATAGTCTGCATAATATTATTATTGCTGGATCGCGGCTCTAGTCAATGAAAATAATATAAATAGCAAAATAAATGTAACATTCTCAAGAGGTTGTTACCTAGTTTGAAAAACATCACAAAAATTACCATTACACTCCTAGAGATTTACCTTAGGACCGCCCCTACATGCCTTCTCATAGGGGTCTAGAACATGACTGCAGTTTTCTTGATAAGGTGAACAGTGCATTATTCATTATTGAATTTTCGATGTATCTTCGGCTGATTGAATGAATTCATTACTATTATTATTATAATAAATATTATTAGTGGTAGTATTATTATTAAAAAGGACCGCCCGCTTCCGCTTTCTAGTTGGCCCAAGTCCAGAGCATGATCAGACCGCCGCAGCTGCCCACCCCCGTCTCCAACCACTTCGACAAGCACCATCCCGACGACCAGCCCCCGCCGCATTTCGCCGCCCCCGCCTCGCCGCCGCACGGCGCTACCGTCAACCAGATACTGCGCCGCGCGGCCATGCAGTACCGGCGCGAGCGGCGCATATCCGCCGAGCCGGTGGAGGGGGCGGAGCACAAGCGCCTCAGGGCGGAGCACCTGTTGATCGGGAACAACAATAATAATAACGACTTGTTGCATCCGCCGCAAACGCAACCTGCGGATTTTTCGCCTAGTGGGATGAAGAACAACGTGCTCAATCTGAATGTGAACTCGACGATAAAGAACGATATTGAAGGTGAGTCATTCATTCCGAGTGTTTTTCCTTAGGTGTGCTGTATTTTGTAATATTCATTTCACCATCATTATACAATGGAAAAAACCACCTTGGTATTTGTATGGGTAGGTGTGGATGGTGCGCTGCGACTTGATTAGATCTATTGTGTCCCAACATTTTCTGTTATCTCAAGGTTCTCTTGTTTATAGCAGCCCCTCAGGCTTCAGGTCTTTCAGGAGTTTGAGGATTTCCAGAGGAACTGTTTGTGGTATTGCTGCCACAATTAGCTTGTATGGTCCCAGTATATTCGATCTTTTGTGATGTACAGCATTACACTCCAGCAAGATGTAGTGGGGTGTTTCTAAATATTTCTCGAAGAATCTGCAGATGCTGTGCTCCTCTAAGCCTAACATCCTAAGAAGTTTTTCGAGTCTACAATGCGCTGTTAAAAATATCGTCATTGCCTTGAGACGAAGTTTGATGAGGTTATTCAGTATCTTCGATCCTGCTCGGTTAAAATCGCCGAGGAAAGGTTTTTGAGCAATTAATGAACAACTGATTGATTATAAAAACTTCGACATCCTATATCTCTTGAATGAAGCAAGTTAGGACACATACTTATAGGAAGAGAAAGTCTTATTTTTGTCTAGAAAACTGATCCTAAACGTTTGGCGGTTTAACCCTGGATCACCCTAGTAGGAGCCCCGGTAGGATGGATAACCCCCACCTCTCCACCCAACCACGTGACTCGGCTAGCCAATCACAGGCCGGCACGGAAGTGGCATGGAAGTGTCACGAAACGCAGAAATGTTCCGTGACGCTTCCCTGACACTTCCGTGGCATTACCATGACATTTCCATGTTCCGTGACGTTTCCGTGACACTTCTGTGACACTTCCGTGCCGGCCTGTGATTGGCTAGCCGAGTCACGTGGTTGGGTCCTACCGGGGCTCCTACTCCCCCTGTATATATATTCGTGAAAGAAAGTATACACTTTGTTCCCGTGGGAAAATAGTTATTTATGTATTAAGGGCACAAAGTGTGCGTTCATGGCCTGTGGCGCGAATAATGGCCCGATGGCGCTAGTCGATAAAGTCGGATAAAGAAGAAGTTAATGATATACCGCTGGATTTATTAGGATCTAGGAAAAAGATCATAGGTTTTTCATGAATTGATATGTATGGATATAAGGAAACCAAGAACGACGGGCGGCAAAGTGCTACTTAACGCCCGCAAAACCGGGCGGTAAAGGGTACTTCACGGCCTGCTAGTGCATAAAAGTAATCTATGAAAAGTGACATTTCATAACCTGTCAACCGAGATGAAATGTTAAACTTTTTCCCCGCCACAGAAATAATTTATTCTCTCTCATTCCAGGCAACGGCATCAGCAGCACGGGCACCGACCGCGACCGCTCGCCCTGCTCCCCCACCGCCACCGTCCTATCGCGCTGCCACGACAACAACAACCACGACCCCATCAAGCGCGAGCCGCCCGCCGACCCGCCGTGCGACAGCCGCGAACCGCCCAGCGACGACTCGGCCGACGGGGCGAACGGCCTGGTCGCCCACGGGCTGGCCCACGGGCCGCTGTCGGGCAGCTCGGGAGACCCCGAGGACCAGGACGGCGCCATCGGGGCGTACTTGACGGCGGGCGAGGGGAAGATGTTCGCAGGCGCGGGGTTCAATTTCAGTATGGCGGCGCTGGCGGCGGATCCTACGGGGCTCGGAGGTGAGTGTGGTCATGTGTAGAGTCACTGGATGGTATCAGTTAGATACGAGTTCGGACACAGCTGAACTTCTGTCCTCTATTTTCTATAATTCAATGGTTTGAGTGAATAAAAGAATAATTCTGTTCTTTTTCTTTTCAATTTCCCTAGTACAGGGTTTCTATAAATGATCGTAACATCGTAGTAGCCGTTGAAATATTTTCTCCACTTGCCGCCTTTGGAGCAGAATACATTTATTGTAATGGCTTATTGTCGAAATGGCACATTCACATTCATCAATGGTGGATGGAGTTACTAGGTAGTAGCCTGCAAGGATGAGTACCTGGCGAAATATCCTAATGTACAGAGTCAAGAATCTTCTTTGAGAGCCCACATCAGAACAGTGATCAACAGATCCATCCAAACTGGAAACATTAATAAAAAGAAATCAACAGGACGGCCTCAAATATCAGAAGAAATTGTCGAAAATCTAAGGGCGCGTGTTGAGCAAAATTCCCAAACGTCATTGAAGAGATTATCTTTACAAACTGTTGTGCCGCTAAGTACATGCCATAAAGTGCTCAAGAAAATATTGCATATGCACCCTTACCAGACTACTGTACTACAGAGACTTCTGCCAATAGATATCACACGTCGTCTGGAGTCCTGCCAATGGTTCCAAAATAATCTCAACGATGACCAGCTATTGGACCTAACATTTTTCAGCGATGAGGCTTGGTTTCATTTGTCGGGATACGTACACTCACAAAATTTTAGGTTTTGGAGATCTGAGAATCCCCACAATTTCATTGAGACTCCACTACATTAAAAAAATTGGGGTGTAGTTAGCATTTTCTCGTAGGCGAATATATGGACCGATTTTCTTCGATGGCACTATCAATGGTGAAAGGTACAGACAAGTGATGTTAGAACCATTCATCAATCAACTTGATGATGAAGAAATTCGAGTTGGCTATTTTCAGCAAGATGGGGCCACTGTCCACACCACACGTGCAAATTTAGAATATTTACAAGAATTTTATGACAACCGTGTGATAAGTCGAGGAGTTGATCCTTCTTTTCCAACACGTTCTCCAGATTTTTCGCCTTTGGATTTCTGCCTTTTTGGATATTTGAAAGATGAAGTATTCAAGAGAGACAATAATAACCGTGAAAGGCTGCAAGCCTCAACACATTGCTGCCAAAATATTGTCCGGAAATGTTGAGGAACATTTTCGACAACAAACGGCGAAGAGTTTTGAAATGCTTGGAGAACAACGGAGAACATTTTGAACATTTGATGTAGGTCAATGGAATAAACCGTTATTTATTACTTCTTTAATAAATATTTTTGATTTGGTCCATTATTTTTCAATATTCCAATATTGGACTCTCCTTTCTTTGAGATACATTTCCATAGTGTATGCAAAACGATATAAAAAAAGATCCTGTATATGATCACTTCCTCTCTTTTTGGTCGTTAAATGTTAACAGCATTAGTAGAAAGTAGAGTCACTGGATGGTATTAGTTTGATAAGAGTTCGGACACAGCAGAACTTTTGTCCTTTTCTATTTTCTATAATACAATGGTTTAAGTGAATACAAGAATAAGACATATATTCTGCTCTTTGTCTTTTTAATTTCCCTAGTAGTGCCTGATTGTCAGATATGATTCTATAGGTTATATTTTCTGTCAAATCAATTATAGCCGTAGATGGACAATGGAAATAGGGTACAAACACCCACTTCAATTTGTTGTGAAACACCTCTAGCAGAACAACAGTTATACAAAATGAAGAGAATGCATCTTTAAACATTTCAATATTAGAAAATATACACATATGGATATACTTTTAGCTAATTCCTTATTATATGTGAAACTGTACTCCAGTGATAAGTATAAAACATGAAGTTATTAATATGCAATTAAAGGTAGCCATTCTCAATATACATGAAGTAACATAAGTACGTTCAAGTGAAGTATTCCTGAGACAATTTTAAGAAATAGTCTATATAAGCTTGTGTCCGGAAATGCTTCATTTCGGAGATACAGAGTGTTGAAATACAGAGAACAAATCATTTTTCGATGAATATTTATTCATTGGAAAAAAGTAGTTTATTTTTTCGAGACCTACCACATACTTGGTTTTGTAAAGTTCTCAGCAACTTCACTTAGCGCCCTAGGAGCTGAGTAACAAGGATCGATATAGAAAATTGTAAATATCTCCTTGATACATAAATAACTATTCTCATTGGTTTCATGTTCACATAAATAGGTGCCCAAGTAGGTATAATAGATATGTGAGAACATAAAATAGCTTCAGAAACTGTGAAAACTGGGAACAGAGTTTTGAATTCATAATACAAAATTCGCTAACTTCTTAATCCCATGCTGCGACTAGCTTTTGAATTACTTAATATTCTTCTGCTCTGTGAATGGATGGAACAGCAGATTCTCTCAAACGCATCCTAAAATCTTCTGTTTGAAAATGGGCCTAGAATATAGTTCTTCAGAATTCCCACAACTCATCAAACAGCAGGGCATTTCCATTCATACTTTTTTCTCAATACTTTATGAAATTATAATTAAATTCTGACTTTCATAAAATGTATTGTCAAATTGAAACAATTTTGAATGAAATAGTGCAGAACGACTATGGTGCTCTTGTCACAATGCCAGGAGTGTAACTTAATGAATCTAAATGTTCGAAAACACTAAGAGTTGTCATTTCTATGTCCAAACTCTTATGTAACTAATAATATTCAGTGACTCTAGTCATGTGAATAGAATGGAATAAAATAGATTTATTTGATCATGTTACAAATCTTTGATGTGTTAGTGACAAGTCATAATGTAGGTAGAATTTTAGAATAATAATATGTATAGAATGAACATCTACAACTATTGAGTCAGTCATGCATTGCTAACTCGATTTTCAACACTCAATGACATACATTATCCTGATTAATTGAGTCATAATAGTAATAATGACGCATCCTGTTCGGTCTCGAAACGAATAAGTCTAATAGTCCTGATGGAATTCGACCCATTTTTCTCAAGAAGTGTGCACCAAAATTGACACCTATTTTCTGCAAGCTATTTACCATCTCCTACAAGTCGGGTATTTTCCATCTTGCTGAAAAATAGCTAGATTCTATATAGAACTATAGGCCAATTGCCCTGTTATGGGTCATCTCCAAAGTGATGGAAAAGACCATCAACATTGAGCTCATCAAATATCTGGAAAGCTCAGGAATCATCAATGATAGACAATATGGCTTTCGCCACCAAAGATCACCTGGAGATTTACTTGCCTACGTCAGCCATATATGGCAAACTTCACTTAGAAAACATGGGGAATCTCTAGTTGTAGCGCTAGATATATCGAAGGCATTCGACCGTGTTTGGCACCACGGACTGCTCCACAAACTACCATCATACTGCTGGCTTACCATCTCATCGATTTTTCTTCCATGTAGATCGCTCCATGTGGTGGTGGACGGAGTATCGTCTGATACCATTGCCATCAATTCCGGCGTTCCACAAGGATCAATCTTGGTACTAACACTGTTCCTGCTCCATATCAACGATCTATTGGGAGCAACCACTTGACCTATTTACAGCTTTGCAGACGATAATTTGAGTAGTTGTAGATAAATTATAGTATTATCCTTGCACACGAGGGCTATTATCTTTCATCTTCGTGGGTAATAGTAATCATTATGCGCTTGTTGAATAATATACGATTACTGCTTGAAAATTTCAAAGACATAGATTTGTTAGTTACAGTGAAAAACAAATTAGAAATTTAACACACAAATATTTATATAGACATATGTGTGTTTCACATTATCATTATTTTGGCAAGAGATCTTTTTGCGACATACCCATAAAAAAATGGTTCCTGTGCGTGTAGTATTGAATTCATGGTTTTCTTGAAAACTGTTCATTTGATCAAATCTAAAAGCATCACTGGTTGAGGCTTCTTTGCGAACGTGTAGCTATACAAATGATTTTACGAAGTGTTAGTTTTCGCGCAAAATAATTTATTTAGATTTACAGTACATTCATCATCAGTGCATAATAATATCTATCTACATAACTATCTTGAAAGAGGAAGAAATCAAATCGAATCTTCTTGTTGAATTTAAATGAACAAATGTACTCCAACTGCATCTCACGAACTATTAGCTGTACAGGATTCGAAAAAAACTATTTGTTATGAAAGTGGCCTACAGAAATATCTGTGCGCTAGCTCTTCAAATAAAAGAGGAAGGGAAATATGAAGAGCACTATGTAGAAACGCTTATTACTACAGATTTGTGAAACGGAATTCGACAAACTTGGTTTCATTATGAAGGGTCTTTTCAATTCTTTCAGATATATCACAAATCGAGTCAATTCAAATCTCGTTGAAAAATAAAAAAAAATTCCTTGGAAATTTCAAATGAAACCATATATTTTCTCTGATATGAAAGTAGGGCAAACGAGAAGAAAAACTGTGGAAACTGCAAGGTGTCTCCAGGAACTGAAGATATCATCGAAATAATGTTGAAGAATATGAATTATAGGTAGCACTAGTTCAAATTATCTGTCATTTTTTGTACATTTATTTCTGTCGAGTGGATAACACTGCAACTTTCCTTCGCATTGACATACTTCCGTCGGCATCTTTGATCCTACTGATTATATCGTTCCTAGTAGTTGGCCGGGTTTTGGAGAACTATATTTTTCAATATCCCTCATGAATGGAAATCAAATCTGAAGACCTAGCTGGCCACCCAAACACGCTATTTCTTTCTATCCACTTGCCAAGATATCTCATCTATATAATTCATATACATTCAAGAGTCACTTAAAAGTTCGGACACAGAAATGACAACTGTGAGTGTTTTTGAATGTTTAGGTTTATTAAGTTACACACCTTGCATTGTGATAAGAGCACCATAGTCGTCCCGCGCTTTTTTATTTAAAATTGTTCGAATTTGACAATGCATTTTATGAACGTCAGAATTGAAATATAATTCAATGAACTATGGAGAAGAATGCATGAATGGAAATGTCCTGCTCTGTAATGGATTTTGGGAATGCTGGAGAGAATGGATTTCATTTATTTAGCTTTCCAAAGGTTAATATCAACCATTCTCATATGGAAGGAATGTATGAAACCGGCTGGATAGAAAATTAATTTGAAGACAAACACAATTTGTAGGTACATAAATTAAAATTCACTTCTAATGGCAGTAGATTTGAAAAAAACTATATTTTAGGTTCATTTTGACAGAAGATATTAAGATCTTTATTAGACATAATCTGGGTGTTAATACCCAATTTATATTTTCCATCTACGGCTATGATTGATCTGAAAGAATATGTAACCTCTAAAATCGAATCTGACAATCAGACAAAGAGCAGAATAGTATGTCTTATTCTTTTATTCACTCAAGCATTGTAATTGAGAAAATAGTGAAGGACAGAATTTCAGTTGTGTGCGAACTCTTATCTACTATTACCATCCAGTGACTCTAATACATTCAGAGTAAAATGTGCCGGGCATCCATTGAGAGTTTCATTGAAAATAAGTCCTTTTCCGTCTTCAATTCCGCACCAAACATTCACACTCCATCGACCTTGATATTCAACTTCCTGCATCCAATGAGCAGGAACAATCGTGGAAACTGCAGTGTTATCCTCTCGACAGACCCCGTCCATGGATAAAAAAAATAGAGATAATTTGAACATTTAGACCTAGCGGTACTAATTATTTCAGTACCTATGTAATAATATTCTCCAAGCGATAAAAAAATAGATATTACTCTTTCTAGTGGTTTTCCTTGAAAACTGAAAATAATTTCTAGATATTCTTCTTGGCCACTCATTTTTTTTTTTCATTTTTTCGAGAGGTGTGCAACATATGGATTCCGAGATACAGCCGGCGTCTTTTCTTAGTTGTACAACCGGTACATTGAATTTTTTTCATAATATTATTTTTTTTTCCAGGTTTAAATCACTCTCTACAAGGAAATGATGGTTTGGCAGGCACCTCACAAGGTAAGAAACCCATTTTTTTATCTTCTGAGTGTTGTATGTGATGTAGTGTCAGTTAAGGTGACGTGTAATGTTGTAAACTACTCCAGATATTATCAGATTACAGTTACATGAAAAGAAAACTATCAGCTACATCGATCTGATAATATTGTTCCGTCTCTTTTCGATAGTTATTTAACAACATTTTGTCGAAGAGGTCTTACATGAAACGATTTTTTTTTCAAAAATCGAAGATTTCTACGAAAAAATGTTGTCTGTATTGGAATGTGTTTTCTCTTGTGTGTTTTTGTATTTTTGTCCCTAGTCTGTTCTTGTGTTGATTTTTTCTATTTTGTTTTAATTTGGGGAAGCCATCTGAAAAGTAAACAGCCTAAAATACGTAGCTTTGCATCTGCACTCCTAATACCTAGTGTGTTATTCTTACTTGTATTGAAGTGTTAGGAATTTTGTAAATGGAGTTTTGAGCATAGAGGATTTTGAAAAAAAATATTAACCTACTATTTGAATGATTTCCAATGTTTCTCTCGTCATTTGTCAATTTCAGAATTGGATAATAATTGAAAACTACTTCACACTTCTTAAGCTTCTTGTACCCAACAACGCGATTGGACATACAGTCTGTCCATAAAGTAACCCCCTCTCGACTTTTGAACGATGTTGTTCTATTTCGATTTGTTTCGTCTCATAGGTACTTTAGAATCTGATTTTCAGTCCCTTAAAACGTGTCTATCTCTGAGAATGGCAATCGGCGCCATTTTTTGTGGAATCGGAGTTGACAGATATGAATTATCTGTACAGTAGTGAAATTTAAGGCATAAATATTCATTCAGTATAAAATGGCGTTCCATGTAACTTCCCACATCATTTTGTATCCAAAATAGAGAAAATAAACAATGTCAGTCCATTAAAAAATTAGCTTGCTTGCTGATGAGTGAACAATACTCTATTCATGTTGTGTCTCCTTTGTTCGTTCGTTTTTTGCCGTGACCACCACCAATGACTATATTTCTCTATATTTTCGTGATTTTCTCTCCTCGTCTATTGAAATAATACTAATATTTTTAGTTTTAGAAATGGACGAGAGGAAATTTCAAAAATTTAGAAAAATAGATATTCCACCTCCTCGATTAACCTTCAGGAAGTCAGTACCAATAACCAGCTCACAATAAATTACAAAATGGCTCCTATTGAAACAGTCAGAATCTATGTTTCAAATGGATGAGTTAGCTTCTTACTTCATAGCGGTTCCAAAAACTAGCATAAGAGGTCGGCTACTCCGTGATTGTCGATATGGATTTTCCAACATGGAACACTATTTTTTCCGGATGAATATTTTTATCTGGAATTGTTCTAAAGTATAGAGAATTAGGTAACGTTTCTTTTGAGATTTAAATCTACTCACCATGTCTTTGATGAAATTCTTTCAAAATGGCGCCCAGTGGTCATTTCAAAAGATTGCCACTGTTCATGGACCTCAATGAGCAATTTCTGAACTACCATTGGGACAGAGGAACTTTCAGAATTGAAAAAGGTGGGTTACATCATAGACACACTGTATAATTATAAATTGTTAAATCAATTTTGTGAAAACGGTTAAATCATAACATACAGTTAAATTTTCTCCTCCTAATTCAGTTAATCCTATGCTTGAACCTCCTTGTAAACAAAAATCTTAGATAAGTTTAAAAAATACGAATATTGTATCATCTTGACTGGACCAACATTGAAACAATCGAAGAAGAAATGTTTCGAAATCCCGTGAAGGTTTGCAGAACCATTTTTCTGATATTTTCCGAAAATGCTGTTACCCAACATACAAGAGAATGAAATAAAATTCAAGCTGTTTGAATACATTTGTATCCTAACCATAGTTAGATTTCTGGTCGGTGGAGCAATTTGAAGAATAAACTCATATGAACCTGGACAGTACCTACCTTGTAACTGAAGCAACAAAAATAAGCTAAACCAACAGTAGATTTTGCCCAAATATTACATCGATACCATATTTTAGATTTCACTGGAGTACTATTTCGTACAAATTTAAACGCACAATTCAATTTGATTCTACGATATATCTAAGACATTCAGAAAATGATAATATATTATACGTTCCTGGATAAAATCATGTATACTGGGTGTCCAGATCAAGATTCATGGACCTTTGGACCCTTGATATATAAATATATATTAATCTACAATATAGGACAATTGAAAAGCTACAACAACAAGATTGTCATAGATTATCCCAATGGCTACCGTTTGTTTTGTTCCCTTGCTAAAGGAGTCGAAAGAAATTTCACTAATAGTTAATTTCCACCACTCTCTGAAGTCGACGGCACATTAGAAACAACATCGCAAGCAAGCAAGAGTGGCGAAATAAAAAAAAATTCCACCTATTATTCTCAAAAAGTGTACAGCAGAATTGACAGCGACTCTGCATGTTATTTACCATCTCATCCAAATCGGTTGATTTTCCATCCTCTTGGAAAATAGCAAGAGTCCGACCAATCACCAAAAAATGAAAGAAAAACCTACCCAACAACTATGCCTATCAAGCCATCAAACATCCGGATAGTTCAGGAATCGTTATATTGCTTCCGCCATCAACTATCAATTGGAGAGTTAATTGCCTACGTAACCCATGTATGGCAAGCATCATTAGAAAAATATGGGAAATTACTAGCTGTGGCGTTAGATATTTCGTCATATGGCTGACCACTTCAGCTATGCCATCTATTATCAAGTTATCTTTCAGGCAGATCGGTCTATGGGGTGGTGGACTGAGTATCCTCTGATACAATAGTCATCAGTTCCGGCGTTCCACAATGATCAATTTTGACACCAACATTATTCCTACTCGATGTCAATGATATGTTGAGAAGACCCACTAGACCTATTCACAGCTTCTTAGAAGACAGAATACCCAATTCTTCCAGGAAACTTAGAACTCACTACGAAGTCAATAAAGATCTTGCTGGAACTGTAGCTTGAGGAACCAACAATCTAGTTGAATTCAACTCCACCAAAACTCGAGCCTGTATTTTCTCTAGAAAAGCGGGTCTTCAACAATGGTTGAGTGCCACATGACCATTTTTTGTGCTGCTTCTCTTTTCCACCCACGTTAAAGAGATACGAATATAGGAAGGAAACACTTACGATTTTATTCGTCTTTACGAATTATTGCTTAGATTTCGGGAGAATGTAATCCAATGTTCTGCGTGGCATATAACCAGGAAAGTAGTTGTTTTTCTCTCGTTATCTACCATTTTCGTTCATTTTATGAACTATTGTGGTAATGACTTTGAGTTCCTCTCTCTTTGTGACCATTGCATTCCATTTTGGGTATTTAGCTTTTTCCTAGTTGAAAATTCGCCAGTCGGGCAACCAGCCACTCCCATTTCACCTGAAAGGGGATCTTGTTTTGAAGTGTTTCTTGCCTTGCCAGGTGGCGTTCGGCGTTCGCGTTCATTTCGCGGGCATTGAACGCCTCGTGGGGTACACATGCTGAGAAGCGTTTAGATTGGGTCAGGTTCGCACCAGATAGCGGTCAAGAATGCTTTCTGGGACAGCCCTGCACTGATGAGAGCCAACAGCTCGAAACCGTTCTGCAGGTAGTCATGCATTCCTGAACCACTTAGGCGCAGCTCGACGTTTAGGATGGAAACACTTGCGATCTTATTCGTCTATACGAATTATTGCATATATTTCGGGAGGATGTAATCCAGTGTTCTGCGTGGCATATAGCCAGGAAATTAGTTGTTTTCCTCTTGTTATCTACCATTTTCGATCATTTTATGAACTATTGTGGTAAGGACTTTGAGTTTCTCTATCTTTAAGATACGAATGTATTCTTGGTTCTATAGTAATCTGTCACGTGGTTTTCAATCATTGTTGAAGACTCGTTATAACAATGTCAGCTACCACCATCCCATAAAATACACCCTTCCATGGGAAAATCAAGTCAGATCCATCGCGAATGCTGCTTACCAAAATCATTCCGAGCGGAAAGCTACTTTACACCTCAACAGCTTCTCATCTTCAGCACCCAAACATGCGCTGATGCTCTTAGATTTCATCCAGAGATGAGCCATTCGCCTATTTAAACACATTTATTCAAAAATCCACGGTAAATATTCTTCAGAAATCTCTGCTCTCATTTTATTCCTGGTAATACCAGGCAGACGTACTCGACATGCCCATTCAGCACATCCTTTCATCATCAACCTTGGAATAGATATGTCGAACAACTCTTTACCAGAACCCTCTCGTTTATACAACGGTAAAACTATGGAGGTCTTAGCCGAAGGAAGGATTCCCAAGAGATCTCCATAGGTTCAAAAAACATTTAAATGCCTATCTTTTCTCCCTATTCTTCCTAGTACGCACGATGTTTCGATAATATAATAGGGATTCCCTTTCATGCGCTCCAGGAGATAAAAAAATGGTCAAACACAACTACCGAGTCACTTCCTTCGCATCTACTTTTATACAGGGTGGTATAGAGGTCATTTGCAATCAAAGAATGTGAATTTTCATCATTGTAGTAACAAAAGCTACTTAATCGAAATTTTGTGAACACGTTAGTATTGGCAGTACAAATATTTCATGATATGCGTCTAATTTCAAACCAGTTCTTTCACGACAAAATGAAAACATAACTGTGTGATATTTTCTATTTTTTATTTCATTTTCGAAGTTAGGCTAGTTAAACCCGAGACACTCTGTATATACTGGATAGGGCAAAAGTGCGTCAGAGTCCGAATGCTCGGGTCTTAAAATAGCTAGAAACATGATGCCTAATATACAGGGCGCACCAAACAAAATCTAGAGAGTCGAAGGACATTTCTTTAAATATAATGTATACAGGGTGACATTGAAATAAGTGCAAACATTTCAAGCCTTGAGTATGCTCGACGTATACTATCGAGTGGTAGTGGTTAGACCCCTTTTTCCACCCAAAGTTCCACATTGTAGCAAATTCTGACGTCACCTCTGATCGAATTTTCGTGCGTTAGGCACAATCACGCGGATTTCAATCATTTAAATTGTTCTTAAGTGGCGAACTTTTTTTTGTCATTTTTTGTTCAATTTTCGGGATGAAATTTCTTGTTAATCAGTAGAATTTCATAAAATATTACAGGACCGTATCTGTAAATATCAACAACTCGAAATTTGGAATTTATATGGATGAGCTTCGCTCTCGCGTTTAATCATTCTTGCGCTAATGAAATCTGAAACTCTCATACAATAAACAACTGATTGATTGATTTCCTCATCCCATATCGACCATGCATCTTATATTTTTCATTTGCATTTGCATCGCCTTTTTGAAAATCTATTATAGTCCCTATAGGTATAGAGACAATAATATTAGTTGACTGTTTGTGCAAGCTTTTTATTTTTAGTTGGTATTTCATTCTTCAACGTCAGTTCGTGAACAGTCAACTGATAATTATTTTCTCTATATCCAGGTGAAACCGTCAAAGAAGAAGAAGAAGAAGTGCAAACCGTTGGTGAGAAATGTAAAATTTGCGGTAAAGTTTTGAGGAACCGGATAACACTCCGTAGACACATTAAAGATCTGCACTATGCCCAGACGGAAGAGTTCTGGTGCAAGATATGCAACCGCTGCTACAGAACTAAAAATAGTCTAGTGGTGCATACGTGTAACTACCATCAAAAGAAAACTAAAACCACACTTGGTTTGCTAATTGATTGATCCGTTGAGAGTTATCTGACATGTAAGTTTGCACAGGGACGCGCCTATACAGTGGCAACTGCGTGCACCGCACACGGGCGGCCACCCTCAGGGGCGGCCAATCCCAATCACGAGTTACTAAATACTCCATTATCTTGAACAAAATAATACTCTGTAGACTATGAAAATCCTCGTGATGAAATGTCAATCCTATTCAGTAAATCTAGTAAATCAACAACGACTTAACACTTGATAGAATAACAAATAAGAACAAACAACATCTCTCAAGCTGATGGCCCACAGGAGTCAGGACGATAACGGTACGATTTCTCGCGATATACTATACCATCGCTTCGCATTAGCTGAGTATTGAATGTCGTCGCGGGATTTTATAGCCATTGGACTACATTCAATTGTATGAAAATTTTGTCTTTGCGATATCGCGTACGATGCCATTAAGCCTTTTTGGCATATAACTAAGGACATTTTTAATCCACTTGTGGAAGTATCTCAGGATGATAGTTTCGATTTGTCGACTAAACATTGATCATCAATGGCTAACAAAATCAATAAATTTCGATGCATCTGTTCCAAATTTTTCCAATCTTTAGCAAAATTTTCCAATGTTCTACACTCAATATTGAAGTATGTCTTGATCAATTGAATTTTTTCGCTGCATTCAGATCCGATGAAAACTATTCAAAAATTTTTAAAGATTCTCGGACTATAGCTGATAATTCAGATTTCGAAAGATACTTTTCAGAACCTTCTCGAAGAAGAAAGATGAATTCAAGATACATTTTTTTTATGTCATCAGCGACCAAATAATATGTTCTCACAATTCGAGTTTTTGGATTTCTTCACTTAGCTTTCGGTAAGGACTTTGATGAAACAAGTTTACTCGAAAGTTGTGAAAATTTGCAAAAAAAGTTAACAAATGAAAATCCTCAGGAAGCAGATATAGACGGGATAGATTTATTTAATAAAATAAAATCATTGAAACTGATATATCATGAAAATATAGAAAATGATTCACAACAAATTTTATATAGTATATACATTTAATGAGCAGCTTTCCAAATATTTCAGTCGCATTCCGCAGTCGTATTTCAGTTGCTTCCATATCCGAGAAAAATTATATTTTCAAAGTATAACCTGAACCTCATATGTTGATGAATCAATGTTAATTTCACTATTTGTAAATGATTTGTTATGTTACTTATGATTATTAATAGGTTATGCTATGTTCTGTAAATAAAATCATCTCAAGAGACATCTTAAAACAAATTAGATATGTTATTCGTTACTTTTCAGTTCTCAGAATATACCAGTTTTCAAAATCTGTTTTATTTTCAATGTTTTCGAGGGCGGCCCAGAACAAATTGCACACGGGCGGCGAAGTGTCTAGGCGCGCCCCTGAGTTTGCACATTTATACTTATACTAACTTTTAATGAACTTTGCATCTAAGTTTTCATTTATATATCGTAGTCGATCAGGCTTCAAAAGCACTAAGAAATCGTTGATCTAAATAAAAAAGCAAGTAGGCGTGTAGGTGTAATATTGTCTGTCCTTTAAAAACATGTGAAAAGCTCCCCTAATGTGACAGGTTTCTGTAACGTAAAAACATTTATGTGACCTGAGTTAATAATTCATTATTCCTAACCTACCATCCAAGAGAAATAATTCAGAGACAAGAAGTCAAAACACTCAGATCTGTAGTAGGGTTCAGTTTGGAAAAAAATGAAAAACATGACTTCAGCCTAAAACGGCGTCACTGACGAATATACATAGATTGAAATAAATAATGAGCTGTGAGCTATTAGTTGTGTCTTATTTATCCGATTTCGCTACCGAGATTACTTTAATGAGTCGTTTTATTTGCAACTTTTCCGATTCTGGTTGCTACTTTTCATTTCCTCTCACTACAAGGAATGACAGTTGTCAAAAACTCAAATTTGATTGACGAGAAACGAAACTTTTTGAAAATAACAGACATTTAGAGGACATTTTTATCGTGAGGTTCACTATAGTTTATGAACTCCTTCGAGTAAGCCAGGTTTCATATGTTCATTCCCAGATAAAATGAATTCTCTCGATCTCAGAGAAGTTTCTTCAATCACTACAATCACCACAATCACTGCTCCAAATATTTCTTGATTTATTTTGTAGATTCCCAACTCTAGTATTATGATTTTGAAATTATTTGAATCCCCAATGTATAAATATAAACCCTTATGTAAATTATCTGATGCAAGGTCAGGAAGTTTCTCGTTTTATTTGTGAACGTCATTCTGTTTTCACCACCGCTAGCAGAATGGAACAAATAAAACGCAACTATTGACAGCTCTCCCCCAGTTTGGGAATTACTACGCATTGAGCAGAAGCGTTTACAGGCAAGCAAGTTGGATGACATTTTCGGGTTCTTGGGATATGAGAGGCCGGGCGGCCACACTCAAGACTCAAATGAAAAAATGCTTAAACACGTCGAATTCTGTTTATATGGACGTTTTTTATGTTGGATTTGTCATCTGTTCTAGTAATTTAGACTGGATCATCTTGAGTGGTTCGCCACTAACAATACTAACATTTCGAAAACGAATTGAGCAAGATGCAAAAACAAAACAGAGTTATTATCGGAGAAATCCACTAACTTTAGCGAATTTTCACAAGAGTATATTTTTTGCTTAAAAATGATCAGAAAATTATTACCTCTAGAAATTAAGAAACGACATTGATAAAAAAGTTATGGCCATTCTAAACCATAAGAAGTCCATTGGTAAGAGCCCTCCAATGGCCACTGTGAACAGGTGTCCGTATTCGTAGTTCTCATTCCAAAACACCCCTGGATATCAATTTTTGAAGTAATTCGTTACAAAATGTTCATACATTCTGAGAGAAATCTCGGAAATGGAGCAATTTCAGACTGAGGAATATGTGCTGAGATTTTGTACAGACCTTTCAGGGACACCCTGTATACATTCTTGTTCACCAACTAGCTTTTCTATTTATTAAAAACTCTTTATTTGACCAAAATCATTCACTCGCAGTCTAAATGACTATTTACATGATAATAATAATTAAAAAAATAATAACAATAATAATATAGAACTTTTATTTAACAGCAACATTAATTTCCAAACATGATTGAATGTTCAAATATAAAAACAATTTACACAAAAAGTCGTAGAAAATATACATAGAAATATATAAATGGAAAAAAATACCGACTATGTTCTAAATCAATTTAAAATTAAAAAAAAACAATACATAAACATTTGAAAATTTTAAAATTTTGGATCGATACATGTCGATAGTAGGTACATAGAGACTTAGTATCTACAATTATAGTGTTATTCTTTGCATAAGACATGAATTTTTATCTGTGTCTTCAAGTTTTCCCGGTCTTTTTAAGTACTAATATCAGAATAAGAATTCGCCATGATAATTGGAACTGCTTCAATAACCAATATTATTATGGTCACCAGACTAAGCCTGATTGTGATGATGTTAAATTATTTTGTATTTTGAAATTAATATAACTATCGATGGAATGTCAAAACGGAATCACTCAATGAGACACTAAAACATCAACTAAAAATTTCTCTGACCATGGCTAACCACGTTCATTGAGTTTTAAAACCCAGCCAACTAGGCCAGTCACATGGGTCCAAATTATTGCTGACCAGAAGTCTAACTTGAAATTCTAGCCTACACCTAAAATTGCCAACTTGGTAAAGTCCATACCAGAAATACCTTGAAGGGACCGTGTGTACATAGCTTAACGAAAGTAACGGCACAAAGAGGCTAATGTAGCTTCTTCCTCTGTCAGGTTTGGACGACTTTCGATGTCAACCGTGCAACAAAAGCCTCAGCTCGCTAACGAGACTCAAGAGACATATACAGAACGTACACATGCGCCCGTCCAGAGAACCAGTTTGCAACATATGCAAGAGGGTATACAGCAGCCTTAATTCTTTAAGGAACCACAAGAGCATTTACCATCGGAACGTTAAGAACATAAAAACCGAGGACATGATATCACCCCACCCGTTTTATCTCTGAGGCATATATAGAAACCATGCGCTGAAATGTCTTTGTCTGGGGTGTTTTTATTTTTGAATGAGGAACATGCCAGATTTCTTTGATTCGATAGATCCGAGTGTGTTTGGAGGCGTACAAAATATTTTTATATGTTCCGACTTATTTTTATTTATTCCATGTATCGATAGGTTGTTATTGTTTTTGAGATAAGTTTATCTTTGGAGAACTGGAAAATGGACAAAATATTATGTTGTATTTAGATATCTCATTGATTCCTAGTAATACTATCATATAGTTATGTTTATGTTATGATTCTTTCAAGTAATGTTTAATTTGAGCTGTCTAAATAGAGTTACCAATATTGTCTATTATAAAAATAGTATTATTGGTATACTAAAAATATTAACTCTTCATTTAGATCTGCTTACTAAAAAGTTCCTAATATATTCAAAAAATTTGAATTATGGTCCTATATACAATAATCAGATAGATCATTTATTCACTTATCACATATTGGAGAGTCCGTAAGACTGATCTCGAATATATCATAATTGATCATCCTTTCATTGTTCATTCCATTGTTCCGGTTGGTTTTTGTCCATTTTTCAGAATTACCTTTTAGAAGCCGAATGTTATTAAGGTAATATATTTATAAAAATCAAAAAGATATACATATAGTATGCTTCTATGTATAAATGCTTAACAATAATTTTATACATTCGATATCAATCGTAGGCTATAAAAAAAGTTATATAAGTAATTGCAGTATCACAACTTCAACGTCATCAACAACTAAAGTAAAATCAATCACTATTGATATAGTTACTAGTCTGTAACAATGATTGAGAGCCACGTTACAGATTTCACATCAACTTCTTCTCGCCCTTCATTGGTATTCTACTGTTTGGATCCATCAATAATTTGGATATCATCTGAGAAACATACCATCAATTCATAATTTGCTTGATGAATCTTCATATATACTTTCCTGAGAACTAAATGTTAGAACAGCTGCCATATTCAGACAAGATGTTTTTTAATTTTGCTTTCTACAGCACACAAAATCAAGAGGACTTCTATAAATAGTATAAATTGCCACATATTCAAATGAACTTGCCCCTTCATCTTCTAGGCGAGTGGGCCATCAAAACCTTTTCAAATGTTTAACTAGTTTTCATCTTATTGCCAAATTTCGGTTTATGAACATTGAGAATTTGTGATCTTGGCTGTTACTTACATAACCCTAAAATTAGTTGCTTGCGTTCAGTGGCTGGTCGACCACAGTGCATTTGGACAACAGCAGTGAGAGAAGCTCTCGATCGAAATGTGATCAAGTGATACAGATTGACAGATCGAGAAAGTGACCAACGTCGGACATGTTGCTGAACGCGGGCGAGATGAACAGAGGTGATAACCCGATATTGCTACCGAATGGCAGCTAATCTGGGAAGCCCCGAGCAGATGGCGCTAGCTGTCGGTCTTTGTTTATTTCGTTGCAGTGACCAAGGATGATGTTACTACAGAAGTTCGTTCGGGTTGTTTTTTTAAGCCGAAGGTGCAAAATATTAACTCATAAATATTTAGACAGATATGTCAAGTTACGTGAATGTTCAATTTTTATAATACTCCGGAAATTATGCAAGTTGCAGAATATCTAAAACAAAAAAAGTATTCAGGAAATGAATACTTGACTAAAATTTCAATCTAGTGAAAATACCTTTTGAAGAATAACTACCCTACTGTAAGACTATATGTCTAACATAAAGAATATAAATCGGTTAGAGAAGGATGAGTTCGATGACCTGCTACGCAAAACAATTCATTGAGATGAAAATATATTCATATAAAAAGCTTAATCTACTCATTCATCATTCATTAATTGTTTCCTGATATATTTATCACCCAAGGGCCGAAAGCTTATATCCTACATTTCTTCTCTAATAAAGTAGGTCAAATGAATAGATCAGATTACAGCTGTACAGGAATCCACTTGAACTTAGCCTTTCAGAAAAACAGTGTGTAGTAAATATTGTAAACACTTTTAGTTTTTGCTACAACACGATCATTATTGCATCGTGAATGAGATATACTATTCTGCCAGGCAGGCATCATATCACTAAAGATGGATTTCTTACGAAAATACAGCCATTCACATATTACAGCTGTCAAAGAGGTCCATCAGTAACGTCACAGCAACTCATAGGTTGGTTTACATTGAGTCTCATATAGTCTGTAGTCACATCATCCTTGTCCAGTGAAGATTATTTTTTCATGAAAGTAAGTAAATAATTGTTATTGAAAGTCTCAACGTTGTATTATGCTCCTCGAGACTGGCTGGACATAGTTTCCCAACAGTCAACCGTCAATTCATTGTTTGAATCATTGACATCACTAGCGCCACCATGCGGAAGCAATAGCGGACATCACTGTCGTTACTACCTTGTCACAGTTCAATCCTATACAGATCCAGTTATATCAGTCGATGAAATCGTATACCCAGGCAACAACAACTCATGGAGTGCCATTTGTGGCCGTGTCATGTTATGTGCCTTCGAGCTGTGCAGCTGAAGTTGGTTAGTCAGCCCATGACTCACGGGTTCCAGAAGACGGATTTTAATGACTAATATTCAAGAATATTTTGTGTCTTGGTGTTGATATAGCCAATATATATGGGTGTTGTTCCTGGATCGTTTTTTTGGAGGACAAATAGTGCACTTTCAGAAGGCAAAGGTGCACATTTTTTGTAATAGATTTTTACTAGTTATATTACATATTTCCAAATTTTTTACGCATGTGCAAAAAAATTTATTCAGATACTTATATGTGACAGTGATGACAGACTGATGCAAGGATTAAAGCTGGATTTCCATGAATGCATGATGCTACTTTCACAATTCCAATTGGGTTGCAACTATCTTATCCATTTCGATTGTCGACTCTTCATTTATTAATTACCATTATATTAATCAATATAATAATCAAAAATCTTCATAGAGGGAGTCAGGGTCAAACCTACATCTCACATAGTCAAGTCAGCTGTCAGAAAGTCACACATCACAAAATCCCAATGGGCAACAATGGCAACTCTCAATACTGACATACGACACTATTGGATAGATTTCAAATTTTTTCCACTTCTCAATAGTTGCGTTTTATCCATCTGATTCCGCCACCGGAATCACTTCAATGTGTCGTTTTATCTGCGACTTTTCCGATTCCGCTTGCTACTTTTCATTTCGTCTCACTACAAGGAATGACTTGGAACGACTGTTGACAGTTGTCAAAAAATCAAATAAGTTTGACGAAAATCGAAACTTTTTGAAAGCAAATGACATTTAGAAGACATTTTCATCTTGAGGTTCACCAGTTCATGAGACAAGTAAGGCAGGTTTCTATGTTCATTCCCAGATAAAATTAATTATCTCGATCTCAGAGAAGTTTCTCCAATCACCACAATCACTGCTTCAAATATTAGTTGATTCATTTTCTTTATTCTTAACTCTAGTATTATGATTTTGAAATTATTTGGATCCCCAATACACAAATACAACCTCTTATGTAAATTCTCTCATGCAAGGTCATGCATCTTCTCGTTTTATTTGTAAACGTCATTCTGTTACCACCACCGCTACCAGTATAGAACAAACGAAACGCAACTAATAGTGACTGACATTGCCATTCGACAAATTTAATGTTTCTTCTTCCCAATTACTTTGAGTACAATAGCAATATTGTTTTTACCTTGTTACATTCTCACTACTGACATCAATCTAGTTAGAAGGAGGTGAGACGGATCTGAGTTGCCGATTGAATAAAAAGAACAGGTTTTTTTATCTGTCAGGAAGGGCGAGGGAAGAAAACATAACCCAACATAATTCAACCAAAATGTAAAATGGCTGAGGAAATTAATGAGGAGCATAGAAATATTATTGTAGTGAGTATTCAAAGGATTCAACCTGTGGACTGAAACTTCAAAGCTGAAAGCATGTCAAAATCAAAATATAACCTCACAATTTTCAGCACAGAACCACAGAATTACTAGAATTAATCCAGTCTCACCTTTGTCTCACTACAACACCAAATGAATAGCAATCTCAGTTGGGGTGAGTGGAAAGAAATAGTCGAAATAAGTTCTAGAGACAACTCACATCAGACTAAGAAGTTATTGCTGCACTGAGAATCTTGGTTAATCTCAGTCAAAGTTGGTAAAAAGGATATTACTTATCAATTTCTGGTAGACAGTTTCAAAGAAAATGAAAAGTGCACTTTTTGGACGAGATAAAGAAAGTGGTGCTGCAGTGCGTACTGAATTCACAAATGGCGTCAAATTGCATAATCGTGCAGCCAGGAACAACACACTGGGGTAACGAACATCAGAGGTGCCGACTGCTGGATCTGTAAGCATTCGACTGTGATCTTGTATAGATTTTAAGACTTGCTTGACCGATGATAAAGCGGGGGCCTAATAGGATCTTGTCTGTTCTCGGTGTTCGGTGGACACACAGCTCGCAGGCTGAGCTTTCCGCTGCCTCTGAACGCCAGCCACCGATGCGACGTTTGCGGCAAGCTGCTGAGCACCAAACTAACCCTGAAACGACACAAGGAGCAGCAGCACCTGCAACCGCTCAACAACGCTGTCTGTAACCTGTGCCAGAAAGTGTTTCGGACTCTTAATTCGCTCAACAATCACCGGAGCATTTACCATCGGAGACAGAAATGAACTCTTCCTGTTAGGCATAGTGTCCTGTTAAGCCCCCGCTATGACGCTTTTCGATTTGTCAAGCAGTCGATATATCTGTTATTGATAGTTAGACTTTAAACGTAGGGATGTAAAGATAATGGAGATGTATGTATTGCATAGTTTCATAGTTTGGGGATATGTTGTTGACAGTAAGTAGTTGCTGTCGATGCTGATGCTGAAAAATTCGACTACAGGACGCAAGCTTGAAAGCCTGAAAGGACCTTGACAAATTATGGGAAAATATCTCAATTGTGGCTTCCAAGTATAGTCTACTCGTATAACCGCTATCATGGTGTCCTTGAGACTTGACTGTAGACATGTATTCCGAAACAGAATTAATAACATTTTTCAACTACAAAATAGCCACAATGCTCAAAGTGGAAAGAAATGCAAATACGTCAAAGTCATTCCCACACAATGTTCATAAAATGAACAACAATGGTAGATATAGGGAGAAAAACAACTTTTTTCCTGGCTAATGCCACGCAGAACATTGAATTACATCCTCCCGAAATCTATGCATCGACTCGTATAAACGAATACTGATACAAGTGATTCTTTCCTGAATGCCTATTGAATTCGATTTCATAGTTGAAATTACGCCAGTCTGGCAATCAGTCACTCCCGTATGGGAATTTCAGTTTCGGAGTGTTTCTTTCCTTCTTTTCTACTCAGATGGCGTTGCTTTCATATTGTCTATGAAGGTTGTTTCTGGGGGAATATAATACCGACTTGATTTCTGTTTTGGCGAGGCTGAGCTTAGTCGGCGGTCTTAGGACTGCTGGCCCTGCACTGATGAGAGTCAAAGAGCTCGAAACCGGTTTGTAGGTGTCTAGCGTGGCCTGGCTAAATCGAAAGCAATAGGCATTCAGGAAATAATCACTTGTATCAGTATTCGTTTATACGAGTCGATGCATAGATTTCGGGAGGATGTAATTCAATGTTCTGCGTTGCATTAGCCAGGAAAGTAGTTGTTTTTCTCCCTAAATGTACCATTGTTGTTCATTTTAGGAGCATTGTGTGGAAATGACTTTGAGCTTTTTGCCCATGCTAACCTAAAACCAGATATTTTACTGCTCGCGAATGCTTTTGAACACTTAATTCGTTATGTACCTCGTTAAAGGCCTTTTTACCGAAATTAAAAGGACGATTAAACAATCAGGGCTGGTTTCATAAACATTGCTGTTATCTTGACGAGGAATCACGAGAGCCTAGTTTTCGAAATATTCCCAAACCTCATTGTCAGATTGGTCACAGTGAGTCACGTGATACATTATGGGCGCATGCGCATTCGCTCGTAGAAAAAATGAATTATTAACGAAACTCTCGGGCTCACGAGACGATGGAAAACATCCTTGAAAGCCTAAACACTAAACAAATGATCACAGTGGACTGACGCCATGCTATTAGAGGACCAGAATAAAACTCCCTGGCCAAACTCAGCCTCCACAATTTCATTGCGAAAAATAATCATCAGAAAACACGAATCTCAACATATCACGTGATGGAAATGGTTCGAAAGATTTAGGCACTTCTGAGGAATCTACTCTCCTAACACATCAGCTGAGGCATACGTTGCCACTTTCCATGGATATGCAATGATTGAGTCTAGTTCTGATGGTATTGTAGAATGAGATGTTTATTTAATGTCCCATACGAGACTTTACTTTTTGATGGCCACTTTGTGAGCTACCTGGCAACTTATTGAAAATTTCAGTTGATACTTAGTCCGAAAGATGCACTGGTTTTATGTTTTGAATGGCTTCTGTATCAGTGGCACTAAGTTGCTTTCGACAAAGAGTAATGAAAGCTTAATGGAGAATTATAATGAGGAAGTTATGAACTGTTGAAGTCCAATTATCTCATAGGAGGATAGTCAATGATCAAAGTAAACCTCACTGAGGCGCAAATTTCGACGATATGATCGTCAAGTTTGGTCGACACAAAAGCACATCAGTGCCTAAACATTGCTTTGAACAACAGAACTTCTTTATCTCAGACTATTAACATATTATTATAAAAGTAATATAATACGAATCATTCAAGTTCAATGGATATTTTAAAATTTTCCACGAGAACATGTTAATTTGGCAAAAATTAATAAAAAATCAACCTGACGGACTCGTTTTTATCTAATTCTAATAGTTCGAATGCTTTTTCCTCGAATGCAGTAGTTTGATTGAAATTTTGACAGTTCAATATGTATAGGCAGTTTTAACGAGAAGAAGCGGTTTTATCAGTATAATGCCTGATTATTGACTAGAATCACGCGTTGCTATAATGCGTTGATATAACTTAATTATCACCTTTTGATATGTGAAGGAAAGAAATAGTAGGTAGGTATGACATTTTTCAAAATGAAACATCCAGTGAAATTGATAGTCAGTTAGACTATATTTTGGAGCCAACATCATATTTTTCTTCTGAGAAGTGAAGAACGTATTCTGTTGGGAACATTTTCCAGTGCGTTAACTTGATCTCACATTTTTTATTTAAAAGACTGATGAAGTAAAAATAATATATTAATTATTTCATTAACAAAACTAATTTAGTTTCTGCATATTTTATATGTATGAACAAAACGAATATTGGCAGTAATTAAAATTGATAATGCGATTGGCTGTGAAAATCAAGACGGACATTGAATCATTGAAAAGTATTTTGAGAAAAGTATTTATTTGCAAATTAATGTTTGTCTCCATTATTTTTATCATGATATTGTACTATCGGAGGTTTGTAGAAATTTACTTATTACTGTCTAGCAAACGTTGCATCTTTTTGGCACTGTGATATATTTTTGTTGATATGATTCTAAAGAATTTTATGATTTAATGTAACGTTTTTGCCAGTAATATGGGAAATGAACTTTTATATAAGAAAAAAAATCAAAGCCTTTTTATATAATAATTGGTGAAAGGGATTCTATATTACATAAACATATTGAAAATACTTGAACGATATATCTTTTATTATTCTTCTTCATTATTTCAATGCTTAAGAAAATTTGATATTTTGTAGCATATAAAAAGAGGTTTGAATTATATAAAATGTGCAATAAAAATTATTGTATCGAGATTTGATTTCGCATAAAAGTTTGATTGCAATATTGGTTATGAAATAATTTGTTAGCTGATGATTATGTTACTCTTTTGGAGAAATAAATACTGAAATCTTTTATATGCTATGATTTTGTACTGATTTATTCCGGAGGCTTTATAATAATATAATATGTTGTTTAATAGTACCTAAGTAGTATATTTTTTTATTATGTGTGCCTAAGCATTCAACTTTTGTATTTAAAATCCAGTTGTTGCACAGAGAGACAGGACTTAGTTTTCAAAAGACTGAAATTATAATTATTATTTGCGGTATTTTTTTTAAGACTGATAGATTTGACTGATTTTGCTACTTTCGGTAAGACAAAAGGATTGGCAAACCCCTATTTTTCAAATTGAACTGAATTTTCTTTGGTCCTGTGTAGTAACTTATTAGTTTTTTTTTTGCATTATGAGCATGTTGATGTTGTTTGATGCAATATTTATCATATTTTATGTACTGTTGTATAACCTTTATTTATGTTTAAATATATTTTTACATTTGCAAAAGCAGCTTGGGTTTTATTTTGCTTGAATAGTTTTGCCATCATCCTGTTCTATGTAACTATATACTTCACAACTCATCAACACTGCAGTGTTGCCACCAGGAGAAATCTGAAATGTTTTTCCTTGACAATGAAATCGAAACTGACGCCAACCTTGCCGCACACTCAGAGTCAAACCGGAAGACAATTTCTTTTGGTCTCGGAGCTTTGTTTCTGACTTAGATGCAAAGAACACTGAACACCTTCTTCGGCAAAACCATGCTACAAATACAAAGGGATAATGTATTTGTGGCAAGCAGACAAGCTAAATCAAAGAAAACATTCCCCAATTGGGGTCTCAATTGACACGGAATATTTTTCACTAGGTACGCCCCGAGAATATACAGTCATATGCAGAGAATGTTACGTGCTGTCATTGCTACATGATATCTGCATGTGACTGTTCCTACATGTATGTACTCAGAGCACGGAAGGTGAACTTATTTCGGAACTGAATAGTTTGTTCAGCAGATCCAGATATGGAATTGTTAATTTTTATTTTTTTATTAGGGTGGGTATTTCCAGTAATGCTCATCAGATTTCATGATATGTTTGATTTATTTTTGCTCCATGGGCTTTTGTGAGCAGAAAAATTCGCCATTTAATACATTTGCTTTCGTATTTTAGCTACCCGGATAAGTTTATTTATATTGAAAGCTTTTACTCACTGATGGTTATTTCGTCTAAAGCAAATTTCACTACTAACATTTTCGTTTTCCACATTTCTTATTCATGTTGTTATTAGGTTCATATTGGAAAGTCATTTTGAAAAAATAAATAAAATTGTAAACTGCTTGGGTGTTTTCGTTTGGCTCATATTAATATTTCTATATCTGATAAACTTCAATCGAATCCTGGTAATGACGATTTAGAGTTTTATTCTTCCTTACAACTTTCTCCTATTGAAAATAAACTCATATCAAATTTTTAGAATACATAGGTCAAAATAAAAAAAATTATTATCAAATGAGCGAACAAGTCAATCTCTCCATGAAGAGAAACTGAACTTCAATGAGTTTAATATGATTATAAAGAACAATCAGTTCTGATTGATCATTCTAGAATATGTGATTTTGACACGATTTCTTGGAGGCCACACAAACTAATATATCTATATCTGTTAGAATACGAGTTTCAAGGATGACGATCCCACTAATTCTGGTTTCATATGACAAAATACAATGTTTGCCATACAACGACCTGTCAAATGACGTATTTCTGGAATGATTAATAGTTTTGCAATGATTTTGAGGTTATCGGTAGTTCTATTCTTGCATTGTCTCATAACCAAGTAGAGATAAGGGCTTATCAGCAAGTGCTTCTTTGTAAGTATATTTTTGTTGTATAAAAATATAATTTCTTTCTGAATTGAATTGTTCACCTGACATATTCACTCAATCACTCATATTAATAAAAAAAGTTTCTGTTGTATATATTTGTGATAGTGCTGAAGGTATTAATTAATATCTTGACTGGACTGGCTCAGTCATTTGTGAACAAATTGGAAACCTTGTGTCACTAGACTCCATATGACTTTTTTCCATGCTTCATGCTTTATAAGAATTCTAAAAATTTATTCATCCTCCGTTTGTTTCAAGTTCATTCCTGTTAAGTCTTTTTCATAATGTTCTAAAATAGTTCATGCTTTCTTTTTCAATCCGAATTACCTACTTCCAAAATGATTTTGTTCTGGTGAACATCAGTCTTTACAATGATTTTCATCTTCTTTGAAAAGGATGCCTCCTAATTTTACCGCAAATTATCAAGATATCGGTACCTACCTAGGTATTTCCTATTTCCCTTTGAGTGACATTTCCACTTTTTGTCGCTACAGTACGATCCAGTTATTCCAGTTACCTACTGCAAGTTGGTTGATTTTTATGCACAAAAAGTAGCACTCAGTAAATGTTTCCACATTTTCTTCGTCGCAGCACCAGGAACTGCATCATTTTTGGTAGTTTGTTCTAAAAACAAATATTTGGTCGCCACTGAACCTAATGAAACAAGAACTAGATCCTGAAAGAATTACAAAAATGTGCCAATAAATTTTTCATGTGAATTAACAAATAACCCCGACTTGAATTATTGACTATTGATCATCCGTAGGACACACAATCTCATTGAGATAGGTATCGACAAAATATGAAACTGTCACTGGAATCTGGTGAAGAATTCTTATATGATATTGAAAAACCAGTTTTTTTTTTCAGAACCATTAACACCCTGTGTCCGTACATACGCTTATTTTTTAACAAAGAATCACCCCTATCATTATTGATTGGTAGGTACCCTAATTAAGACTTCCAAACACCCAAATGCCCTGTGAACCGTTGCTCTGAGACGTACATCAGCTGTCTCTCTCTAGTTTCTTTTCTTTTTTTTTTTGAACAGAAGTTATAGTGATATATTTTTGTACGTGAATTCACCCAGTATGCCATCTGGAGGGTATCATTAGGTATATAATTTGATTGTAAAAATGGAACATGAAAGATTCCTCTCTGGTTCTTTATGCATTAAAGCATGTTTTCAAGGTTTAGGTTTACTTGATATGCGCAAACGGTATGCTATTTTTTCAGTAGCATATGTATAGCACAAACATGTTTACTTCTGGAAGGCGGCCTGTTTGAAAACGAGGTAAAGTTATTTTTTAAATTCAACTACACCTGGCCGTGATCAAATTTTGTTTTGTGCTCACGTAACCGTTATGCCGTTGTATTTCGACAACGCATATCAGTTACATTCCATTTTGGAACACAGGCAGCGTTTGTGAAATCGTTTCGAAACGCTTAATTTGCAAAAATAATGTTGATTAACTTTATTGCATGAAGATCCCGGAAGGATTCTTTCATATTTGATTTGATTTGATTTCTTGACATCAAAATGAATACATAATGATATCCAAAAGGCATAGGTACTGGTCCGAAAATATGTCACTCCTTGCAGGTCTACAGTGTCATTCAAAAAGTTGGCATCATATGGGAAAAACTTTTAATAACAATTTATTTTGAAATTCGACTTGAGCCTTAAGTTTTGCTTCAAAAAAGATGAAAAATGGCCGACTCGGTTCGAGTCACGTGACTTTCGCAACATGTCAAAAGTTGCAGTTTTTCAAATTAATCTTTGAAAATAAGTTTATTTGTTCGAATTTCAAAAATGTTCACCGAGAAAAATTGTTTCTGTTTCAATTTTACACGAATGTGTCTCGAATTTAAACGTTCAATAGCAACTTTCAGTTCTTTAGAAACGTAAAATAGTTTGATTATATTTCGATAGATGAATTTGGCATCTGAAAAAATCAATTTAGATAAATTTCGTTTCGGAATGATAGACGATACCATCAACTTTGCATCAAACATAACAAAAATTTGAAGCGGGGATTAGTGTTTTCTGAAGAATATCATATTTTCATCGATAATTATTGATTGAAAGTTACTAGCATGATAGAGCTACTAGAATGCAATAGGTTTGTTGGTGGTATTTTTCTCAAATATTACAGATATTTCTTCGAAATCTAAAAAATATCAAGAATCAAAAGTTGTAATAAAACGTATATATTCGAGATACCTGTATAAAATCAAAGAATAGTGTATTATTGTTTAACGAGCACGGAATGATTTCCCACGAGAATTAAGTTTGTGGGAAATAAGCATTCCGTGCGAGTTATACACTATAATTTTTGTACGGCTGTAACAAATAACAGCGACATTTTCGATTTCTTCGAGTTGTAGCCATCGGATTTCCTCTCAAGTTATGCTCATCTATTAGACAGAACTGTCATTTCTTCAAATTTGACATTCCATGGCGATGATATTTTTTTGAAATAATAACACAATGGAGTCTTTCTGAGGAAATAAAATTGATGACAAATAAGTACCTCATGGATGGATCGAAAGCAGTAAAACATGAGCAATTTTGTGTTATAGCCGTCGAAAAACAACTTTTCTTTGTACACTTTTTTGAAATTCAGAGATTAATTTGAAAAAATGTGACTTGATATGTAGCGAAAGTCACGTGACCTTGACCTAGTAGTCCATTTTTCATATTTTTTCAAGCAAAACTAAACGCCCAAGTTGAATATCGAAATAAATTATGATCAAAGGTGTTCACCATATGATGCTAACCTTATGAATGACACTGTATACGCCGTAACAGTGATACTGAGTTCGCGTGGCTCGCGAGTGTGCGGTCAGTCAGATGGCGCGGCGAGATTTTAAATCGAGAAAAAAAAACGAGCGAATCGTAAAAGATAGTTCGTCTGCTGGTGGCAGCACTCGCGAACCCGACCGTAGCGAGCTTGGTTTTGCTGTTGCAGGGGTCTCGCCCAAGAAGGTGTTCACGTGCCAGCTGTGCGGCAAAGTGCTGTGCTCGAAGGCGTCTCTGAAGCGCCACATCGCCGACAAGCACGCAGAGCGGCAGGAGGAGTATCGCTGCATCATCTGCGAGCGCGTTTACTGCTCCCGGAATTCGCTCATGACGCATATCTACACTTACCACAAGTCGCGACCCGGCGATATCGACATTAAGTTCTTTTAGCCAGAGCACCTGCCCCAGCCTGCGCTGCCGGTGAACGTTCTCCCAGGTATATAAAGTTCCTTGAAGTCGATCCCCTGTATTGGCTGGAGAGTCGCCGAATGGCATTTCTGGGTCGCGTTGAGTCCCCAGATAACACCGATCTCCTTGAGAACTGACGGCCGAATATAGAAATGTCATGCCTTCCCGGCGTCGAGGTGTCCAGTCGCAAGGCCTGTAGGCTCTGTTGTGAGGTCACCTTAGTGAGGGCTAACAGCGGCTCGAAACGACAAGCGCTTATGGCGCTATGAGGCGACCGCGTATTTCAATTTTAGGTTTAGATCATTATTGAGCCGATTTTGCTGTTTTTTTAAAAGGCTTCCGGTTAAAAGGGAATGCCAGTTGTCAACGAAAAAAACGAAGTTTCAAAGCAAAAACCATAATAAAACACAAATACCCACCTACAGCAACCCATTCTAATCAAATATATTGGCAAAAATTGTAGTGCTTTGCTCTCATTAGAGGTAAACTTCACACCTACTTATACAGGGCCAGTAGAACATAATTTTATCGTGAGATTGGTCGAAAGAAAATTGGGGAACATGTATTTTATTTCGATAGACATGCCGTTTGTTATAATTACCTATATTTATCTTGGAGAATTCCTATTAACTGAAAAATTAGCCAGTGAGTGTTTTCAATTTCCCGTTGTTGGATTTTTTACCCAATTGAACATTAGACTTGAAACAGTATTTTCTAAGTAGAGTGTTTGTAGGTCAATACCGGCATGTCATCACTATATTTATCTATATCAGATTCCTCGACTATGATATCTGGATTGAAAAAATAATTTTCTTGTATTTTGCCAAATTTTTAGTCTCTAGTATCTCAAGCTTTTCATCACGACTTGTGCGTAATTTTACATCTTTCGATAAATAAGACAAGGACAGTTGGGAAAGGAGTAGGAAAAACATATTGTTTGAGCCTAGGAATTTTCAAATCTATTGTGACAATTGCGCCAGTTTTCGAATCGGTTGCAGTATGTGAAGTAATAATAGCATCTTTAGTAAAATGTAATTCACATGCTCTACTGTACTTAGATGGAGTAAAATCCTCGCGTTGAATTGCATATACCCACTTTTTCAATAGTTGTCCAACGGGAAACTAAAAGCATGAACTTTTGGACCACCCACATAATTCCCCCGACAAAAGGGAACACAACAATTGAAAGGCATTCTTATTTCGCCTATCACAACACAACATATTTCACAAAATAGTAATTTTTCCGCCAATTATTCTGATGAATAAACTACAAAAGAATTCGGGCACGCGACCGCTTCTCACACATACCAAAACAAACTGACGACAGTCGACACGCGAAACGCGTGGCCTCAGTTAGCTGACGTCACGAGCTGTTCAATACGAGCCTTCAGGCCTTGTTAGTATCGGGGGTAACGCGCCAGCCGGCCGTAATACACATTACCGGCGATTAAATTATCGACTCAAAAGTGCTGTAGTGGCAGCCAATTTCAATGCTCCATTGAAGGGAGCGCTCAGCCACCAACGTATGTGGAGTAAGGAGTATACGTTCTTTGAGCACTTCCTAAGTATCTGACCGCGAACTACAAACTGTGCGCATTTAAAGTTTGTAGTTCGCGGTCAGATAGTTGGAAGGTGCTCGAAAAACTCATCCACCTTGATACAGATTTGTAAGCGCATGTACGTTGGTGGCTGAGTGCTCCCATCAATGGTGCATTGAAATTTAATGCCGCTGTAGCACTTCTTAGTCAATAATTCGATCGCCGGTAATGTGTATTACGGCCGGCTGGCGGCCGCTTAGAAACCTCGACGCCGGGAAAGTACATAAACTGCCGGGAGAGGTGTGCGTTACAAATGCTGGACCGATGGTTGGTGTTATCTGGGTCGACTGGTCGATGAATAAAAAAACGTGTCTAGTGAAAGACCAAGTCGATTCGGCACATGATAAATTGATATAGTAAACATTACATGCTAGTAGATGAGCTATAGGGTTACGCGGACAAAATCCCATGTGTCTTTTTATGAAGGTTGTTCTGAGAAGGCGAAGCTAATTATCGATCTTGGCGGTGCTACAGAGGCACGAATCCGTTTTGCCCAAACATACGTATATGCGATTTCTATAGACCAATCAGAACGGCTCAAAAAGCGCCTGCGTGATATCTAGCATATTTTGTCTCTTCAGCTTCTTGCTTGGCAGCGATGAGCCTTAAATAGGCGAGTGGACTAATTTTTTTTATTCCTTTAGTAGAATCATCATTCAATACCTTTCAATTTCATATTTTTCAGAATTTTCCGGACGATTTCAAGGTGCTAAAATAATCAATAATGCCACGGTAGTTTTCAAACGGCTAGAAATGTATCGCGAGTAAGAACTGACGTCACGAATTCGTAAGTAGGGGCAGACCATAGCACAGTTGCCATATGTTGAAATCCGATTGGGAACTTCAAAAATATTAGATATTCAATAATTCAAAAATTATTGATTATGTATTGTTAATATTCCTAATTATCAATGAAAAATCGATTTTCTTTGAATTTCCCTCATTTGATGTGGCTTATTGCTCATTAAACTACATTTGTGTAAATAATAATAATTATAATTCACACTAGAGGACATTTGAACAGGTCAACGTGACAACACGGCGCACGAATTGTGGGCGGTGCCTTGTCAATTCTCAGTATTCAGCACGAGTCTTCAACATTCACATGATATTTTGTTCCGGCGTATGAAAAATATTTGGACATGCTGGTTGCTCAAACAATTCAAGAAAGAACTATAATGTCATGGCTTTGTTATATTTCGTGTTTCATTCACCGACAGGGGTGACATGACTTATATAGTTTTCATAACTTGACTATAATTGGTGACTTGACAACCTTTCTTCATGAGTGGGGATGGAAGACTATCTGACTTATAACGAAACATCATGAAAACTGACGTCACCATTTATTCGACGTATCGCCATATTGCGGCCATGGCGGTACGTTTGAGATGAGCTCTGAAATTCAACAATTTTAAACAACGCATCGACTCATTATTTACATAAAAAACGTGAGGAGTGTTGCAAAAATTAATTCGGGTTCCCAACGACACAGAAGTGTACCTGAATGTAAATAATGCATTTATCAGTCCACTCGCCCATTCTTCATAGTAAAAATCTGTGGTAAGCGCATGATACATTGGGCAAAGATTGTCCACCTAACCAAGAGATGTTCACTTTTGACTAGAATGAATCGTCATAAAAAGATACATTGGATAGAGTGCTCGTAGCCCTATAGCTTATCTACTCACGTGTGCCTATAGCGGCACGATTTAAAAGTTGGCCATCAAGTCATGTGACACTTTGACGTAGGAGTCGTTAACTGTGATTGTATGTTGCTCCAAATTCTACCACTGAAGGCGTGAGTCGCCGAAAAACTCATTATACAGAGTGATTCAGGTTTCAAGGTACAAACTGAAATGGGTGATAGATATCAGCATTTTAATCAAAAAAGTTCATATATACATGAGTCCGATCTCGATCAGTAGTAGAGCTACAGGAGGCCGGAGATTAATTTTTCTCTATTAATTGAAATATCGCTCACTTTTGGAAATATAAATTTGAAATTTGGTATATATATGCGTGCGTTACATGGGTCAAGGTTGAGGTCAAGGTATTCTACCGCAAAAAACAACTAAGGAACATACAATAAACCAATATTTGAAACAATGGCGGTAAATAATTAATTAAAATATTTTTACACTGACTTATCAACAACAAATGGAAGGAGAATGCTAGTTCTCAGTTGTACGCTAAATGGAACTCGCGCATACCACGTGATCGGCTTAGAAAAGTTGGTTGACATTTTTGACAAGTATGCGCAATGCTTACATCGTATTGGGTCGGCTTTATATAATTCAAAACATACCATAAATATAAATAATCGCATAAACAGCGGACATACAAACAAACTCCTCAAGATCGATGATAAAAGAGCAAATCACTAGAAAAAATACACAAACAACGTAAAAATAACTAACGGATGATCGGGTACATACTGCGCAGATGCCTCAACCTTTGTTGTTTATAGTAACAGTGTGTTTTTCTCGCTTGCTTACCCAATGCTATGGAGAATTGCAAGATTATCTGTATCTTGACTCATGTGAATCGAAAACATATTTATAGGTTAAGGTTATGTTGATGTTATCATGAAAGAATTCAAGACCTAAACCTATAGACCGTCTCCACTAAAATATTCCTACACTTATATCTACCAAATATGATCCCTGAATTCTCAATCCGAGTACAGATTCATTGAAAACCACCATTTCCATTGATCTTGGAGCTCATTTGCCCACTTTTCATGATCTTGATGTTTTTTTTTAATAATTCCATTCTTCATCTCGTTCTAAGTGTATCTCTTAACTAATAAACCTTAATAGAATGAAAATCTGTTGCATGAACGGATGCGTATACAAATTCACGACAGTCATGAGCAGTTCTTGCCCAGAGGATCGTACTGCTTTGGACCGATTCGAATCTAGTTCGTGGAAAACGAAAACACATGAACTGTGGATTTCTAAACAGTTCTGAGAAAACGCGGACACTTCCTTGTCACTGCGCATGCTTCTGATTTTCTCGGACTGTTAATTTTGTGAACGCGAACAAACCTAATATAATCTCTGGTAGAAGTCATCTCCACTACTTAATTACTGTATGAAAATAGACCAAAAAAAAAAAGAACATCTCTACTACTTTATTACTGATGTAAATCAATCAAGGGGACATGTTTCGGACTATAAAAGTCCAACTACACGCAAAGGCATGTGAAATTCACATGTTATAACAAACCAAAAGTTGAATTACATGGAGGTCAAACAGTATTTTAAATTGGATGCCGATGTCTATCATCATAATATCGTGGGGTTGAGAATAAACGGGTTTTCATTAAAAATGAAGGGCTCCGTGCCCTAAGAACGCGCACTTATAGAACCAAATGTCAGGTTCCAAAAGGGACGAGCACTCAAAAATGCTCATAAAAACCATGTTAGGTTGCAAACAGAAAAAAATGAAAGGGTCCTGTACCCTTGAGAAAGCGCACTAAAAATCCAGAAATCAATTAAAATTGATGGGCCAAAAGCCAAAAACGTGTTGAATCCAACCTAACGTTATAAACGCGAAAAAAATTTATAAACAATGGCATAAGTCACTGTCTCAAATGACACGATATTATGACGAGTGGCATAGGACACAAAACATTTGTTTTGCAGAAACAGCGAACATGCAAACTTATAGAATAAAATATTAAACCTAAACCAATTCGCGGATCTCCGAACGACATCGACCAGTCGACTCCTCCACCGCAAATGCCACCCGGTCGCCTAGTATAGCCCCCTCGCCCTCCCGCTTGCCGCTATCGCGCTCTCTGTGTAGTTATGTCTTCTGCCGCTTGCCGCCGCCAGCCTGCATGTCCGTCCTCGCCAACTCGATTCGCCCCGCCCCCCCACCACCACAGGCCCCGTGCTGTTGCAGGGCCGGTCCGCATGCCGCCTCCAACCGCCGGCGGCATCAACGAGCCGCAAGAGTGCCCGTACTGCAGGCGCAACTTCAGCTGCTACTACTCGCTCAAGCGCCACTTCCAGGACAAGCACGAGCAGAGCGACACGCTGTACGTGTGCGAGTTCTGCCACAGAAGGTACCGCACGAAGAACTCGCTGACTACGCACAAGAGCCTGCAGCATCGGGGCTCAAGCGGCATGCTCAAGCGGCTGCTCAAGACGACGGCGATCAAGAGCGTGCTGAGCCAGCCGCCGAGGCTGCAGTGAGGCCTGGCGACGGGTTGAGGAGGCTAGCTCGAACCGAAAGTACAAATTCACACACATACACAGACATAGCCCATACGTAGTTTTTATACGCCTATACAGTGTGCGAGAGATGGAGATCGATGGGCATATCGGGAAAGGTAGGAGCTAATAGAGTGAATACTGTCTATAGGTACATTCATTATTCCAGATTCTTTGGGGTTTTCTCTCCACGTTCATATAAAATAAAAATATGAATATTATTTCAATATACGTGTAGTAAGGACAAATCAGATGATTTGCCCCAAGGTGTCACTGCGTTTAAAGAATTTTCCCATCAGAGAGCCTAAAAGAAAAATTCACCAGCTTGTCAGTTACAGTTTGTATTAAAAAAGGTTTGGAGAAGAGAAATAAAGGTATAAAGAATCACATGTAACCCTATGGCTTGTGACCCATCATTAGAAAGCTGGTCAAATTTTTGTTTTTCATACGTTCAAAGGTTGCATAAAATTAGAATATAAATTTGAAATTAATTTTTTTCACAACGTATCAATCGCTAAATATATGTGTTGAACAGTTGATGACAATTTTTTGCCACAACTGCTATTGTACTCCACTGGTTTTGTAGAAAAAGAAATTAACTTTTTTGCCGTATTCACAGTTCGAAACGAAGTATTATTGCAAACTGGTGGAAATTCTCTATATCACTTTCACTAAAAGTCGAAATGTTTATGAAAGTTCGTTGAAAATATATTGAACTTCGAAATTATATTTTGTTTTTATGCGACCCCCAAAAGTACTGCAAACTGAAATATGATTAGTACTCTGGATTCCTCTTTCAACCAACTTTCCAATGAGGGGTCGCAAGCCATAGGGTTGCATTTGGAATTAACATGTTGGGGTTGATTCTACCTACCCCTGTAGGGTTATATTCTCCACATTACTCTCCAAATGTAGGTAAATACATTTAAACGTTGAATCGTCTCGCGACTTATCAGAAAAATCATTCAATCCTCCAGTAGGGAATTTATTCCAGTTAAAGTCTCCACCCTGTAGAAAAAATATCAAATTTTTATTTATCTTTGGACGTTTCGGGAACGAATCTGCTCCCGTTTTCAACATTAAAAATGGATTTTTTTGTATCGCAAATTCGTATTCGTCCTGACACTGTTCAGTTCTCACTAGCAATTGGTGAGGTTGGCAATCAAATGAGTTACAGGAAGTTTTCATGAATTAATCGTGAATTTACCATTTTCATTTTCATATTTCAATAGTGATACCATGTTCTACCTATATCAACTGAACAGGAAGCAATGCTATTGTCTCCGTTCACAAGAATGCAAGCAGTTGATATAGATAGAACATGGTATTCACTATTGACATCTGACAATTAAAATGGCAAATTCAAGATTAATTGATGAAAACATATAACTCATTTGATTGCCAACGTCACCAATTGTCACTAGAACTGAAAAGTGTCAGGACAAATACGAATTTGCGTCCAAAGATAAGTAAAAATTTGATATTTTTTCTTTATTTCTCTTCTCCAATTTTTTCCTACACAAATTGTCACTGACAAGCTGGTGAATTTTTCTTTTAGGTTCTCTGATAGGAAAATTCTTAAAACGCAGTGACATTTTGGGGCAAAAATTGTCCTTACTACATGTATATTGAAATAATATTCATATTTTCATTTTAGAGAAACGAGGAGAGGAAATCCCAAAAATCTGGAATAATGAATTGATAGAGGGACTTTATAAATAGAGTGACGACAATAATGGTACACTTTTTGATTGGCCAGACCTCTAATATGGATGTGAATTTACCTGTCTTCCTCCCTCCATTTAATTCTACGCATTCTATTTCACTTTGTGAATGCTTCGTCTATGTTTTTTTGCTTTTTGGACAAAAAACATCCTACAATCAGACATGAAACTCTTTACGTCAGTACCTTGGATATCAACTATTAGAATTCGTCTTTTTAGATTGATAGATCAGATGGGCACTTTGAAGGCGTAAATTCATTACCCTTCAGATCCGGAAACGGCAGCCATTTGGAGGTCTCTTGTCGTATCACTCTATTTAATCTACTCACTCTAGGAGTTAGGAGGTCGGTCGGTTCACCGACATAAACTACTATCTAGACTGCTAATGCTGTAAAAGACCTGTTTTATATCTCACTCTTACCAAGGATAATACACACGCTAGGTAGACAACGCCTGTAAAAATTGGCAAATTGGCTACGCTCCGATGGGACGTAACAGACCGACGGCCAGTCCGCAGTGCTGATTCGAATGGAGAAGTCGGTTTGCTAGTTACTCGGAGAGTTATAATATTGTCTGTTCATTGACCCAAAATTTGTCTGCCTGTCAATGGTGCTACTGTGATGGATACTTTCAATAGCTCATTCGTTTTGATGTTAGTGACTGTGACTGTTTTAGATTGATTTAGTCTTCTATATATTTTCTTCAAACAGTACTCAACCAGCTAACCACAGATAACACGGGTTTAGCATTATAGCAGCAAATGAGTCGGCAATAGTTTGTCGATTTGATTGTGCTATGCAAAATGTCGCGAATAACACTGACGCGTTCCATTTTGCAGTCCAAGAGGTGATGTGATACACACTGCTTTCCCAATGATGTAAATTTGAGACGTATTCGAAAATAATGCATTGATATTTCAGGAATAAGAACATTTGAAGTGTGTGAATAACGTGATTCCATGGATTATACAAAGTGTCCCTAAAATGTCTTTACAAAAACCTACCACATATTCCTCAGGCCAAAACAATTCGATACAAACAAACTTACCTCAGTACAAAGTTGTTCAATTTAGACGGAAGACGGCTTCTCTCATGGTTTGGACAAAATTTGAATGTTGGCAATTCAAAGCTGATGCTTTGCTCAATACTAGAGCGACCAACAGATATATCATGCATATTGTTCAAAATATTCATATTTTCCACGTATACAAAGATTTATATGACGAAAAAATGAATACAAGCGAACACCTCTGAACAATAAGTTGCCCAGTCTGGGCGCTAGATGGCTCTGGCTTACTGAGTACAAAAAATAGCTGATAGCACATTTGAATTTTTTTCGTCATATTAATCTTTGTTTACCTGAAAATGAAGGAAATTTTGAACAATTTTTATGAAATATCTGTTAATCGTTTTAGTGTTGACTGATGCTTTGAATTACTGAAATTGTAGAACCTTTCTTGTAGTAGTTCCTCATGTTCATTTATGAAAAAATCAAGTTCTACGCCCATGGAACGATATTCATTATAATCATGATATTGGGTTCATTGCCCAATGAATCTATGCCAACGTATCAAATTTGAGTTGAAACTCATGAGCCGTTTCAAAGTTATGAATGAAAAACGATTTGAAAATTGTAATTTCAGAGCCATCTAGCGCCCAAACTGAGCAACCTTTTACTGAGGTTAGTTTGCTTGCATCAGATTGTTTTGGATATGTAGTAAGTTTCTGTAAAGACCCTATAAGAACACCCTCCATAATAACTTATCAAAAATATAGAGGGAAATACGCAGCACCTACCTTCATGCTTGGCTTGCATTTCAAAAAAGTGCAAAAAGTAACTTTGCTTCAACACAGCGCTGATGAGTTTCAGCCGAGGTTCCAGCAGTTCTTTCTCAACTTCCAATAGCATCATAAAACGCGCTAATATAGCATTGGATGCGTAAACAACTTCCTGCTTCCATTCAAGTATAGGTAGATGATTTTCATACTTGATATAAATATACTTACTGATAATGTTTCAACATCTAGTTTCCACTTGAGAGATTTTTATTTACAAACTTGGCGGTCTATCCTTGACTTGAAAAATGTTTAGGATAGGAATAAGAAATAAACAACTTAGTTTATGTAGATGTCTCTAAGGTATGGGATACTGTCACAATGAGGGCGGTTTTCGCAATTGTTTTTTCCAATGAACAGAATTATTATACCTCTCGCCTACTAACTAGCTTTTCCATTTAGATCGATGATGGTTGAACAGATCAAAATCGGTGAGCATTGCCCACCGCTCTGTTACGTCCAAACTGAGCGTTGGTGTCTATCTAGAGTGTGTATGATCTTTGCTCTTGCTTATGTTTCCAAACACGAAGGAGACCATGACTCGATGTCATGAACGACTGTTTGGGAGTTCCTGAGCATTGAGTAGAAACGTTTTCAGGCTAGCAACCGAGATACATGACTTAGCGGTATAGATAAAATTTATGGCAGTGGGTTGGTTGGGTTGGGTGAAAGTTGCACGATTTGAGGTTGAGGCCTATGCAAAAAATGGAGAGTTTCTATGAACGTATGTCCTTTGTTGCATCTTGTCTAAGACAAACGGTATCTGGAATACAAAACAAAAAATGTTCCATTTTTGGTACACCATTATAGGTTTTGATCAATGTGAGAATTTGAAGTTTGTAGACCAATGGCATATACTCTTCAAACAGGTGAATAGTCATTTCATTTCAAATGCTTGAATAATGGGGTATCCGAGATATTTCCGAAAGGAATCTAGGTCGGAACGAATAATTGACTAGATATGTGTTCAATAGGTTCGTGATGCTAATTTCTCAGAAGGTATCGGAATATTATTTTTGAATGCCTTTTAAGAACTGTCTGTACATCAGACAGAATGGATTTTAGGACATAGGTTGACAGGATTTTTTCACCACAAAATGAAGAGAGGAAGCTGATAACGAAGTTTGTCGGCTTCATTCTCTGGCTCACCCTGTATATACAGTGTCGATCATAAAATCTATAATATATGGGAAAAAGTGTATTATTTCATCTCGACAACCTGAAAGATTATGACAACGTGTCACGGTATGGCAACAAATTAGAAGAGAATGACTGAAGAAGCAAAAAGTTGGGTTAGATAACACAATATCAAAGTAGTTATTGCTCTAGACGTCAGAATGACTCACTTCGGTTATAATGGATTGTTCATATTTGTATTGAATGCTTCTTATGCGTCGTAAGAGAAAATCGTGATTTTGCTATT